GGGGAAGCAGGGGGGGAAGGATGGACCGTGTCTCTATTTATTTACCAAAACAACTCAGCCCGGCTTCCAAGGCAGCCTGGGCATCGGATCGCTTTGGGAAGAGGTGGAGTGGATAAATCTGAAATCTAGAAGCTGAGTGCAACCCTTAGGAAAGTTTTGGAAAGGTGGTTCCTCGTCTTTGCGAAGCTTTATTTGACTAAATAAATTTGCTGTTTTTAACTTTCTACATTTTTGACTTTTCCCATTATTCAGAATTTTGTCTTCCCCTTCCCCTCGGCTCTTCCCTCCTTCATGAGCTGCTGGAACACTTGGGGTTCAGGGTGTAAAGCAGCAGAGGAGGCGGGTGCCCTGGGACCAAGAGCCAGCCTGAGGATCCCCGCGGAGGGATGCTCCCGGATCTTCCTTGGGCACTGACTGGGGCCCCAAGCTCAGGACCCCCTGCAGCACCTGCACCTGAGATTTGCTCATCCCACTGGAACCATTTTAAGGCAGAACTTCGCAACTTTTGGCCAAAAAGCCATGGCTGCTGGGGGGCAGCAGGATCTGTCTGCGTCCCTCCTGCCTCTCCCCTCCGAAGTCCCTGGGGATGAAGCCACTTGAATGGGAAGGGACAGTTTCCCAGCTCCAGTGCAGCTGAACGTTTCCCAAAGATTTGGCTCCTGGGGAAAGTGCATGTGGAGTCTTTTCCCAGTCCTGCAGCGTGGGGGGAGAGAAGGCAAAGAGGCGAGAGGCGTTTGCGTGCGAAGGCCAAAGAGGGAGGCACGGGACAGCACTAAATTATCTGCTTTCTCCTGCTGGATAAGCCACTTATTTCCTTGAAAATGCTCTTGAACATAAAAACAAATTCCAGGGGCCAGCAGGTCCCAGCCAGCCTGAGCTGCCTGCAGAGGAAGGCACAGTCCATGCCACGCACCCAAAGAAGTTGTCCATGACATAAAATTTTAAGAACCACTCATTTGAAATAGAAGACGTGCTCTGGTATCAGTTGCTGTTGTAGTTAAGCTTGCCTGGATTTGTATAAATGTGCTCTCCTTCCTAAAAAACCAGCCCGCAGCTCCCATTAGCCCAGTGCAGGTGTCCAGCCCGTGCTGGGAGGTGACCGGGCTGCAAGAACAAAATTCCCTGCAGCCCCTGACAGCTCAGCGGGGAAAACGAGTGTTTTTCAAACAGGCCAAGTAAAACCGAGCGGCCAAAGGTCAGAGGGACATGGACCCCCCCACTGCCTCGGCTCACAATGGGTGGGAATCCCCCCCTTTGCTGTGTGCCCAATGAAGCATGGGAGCTCCGCAGCGCTGGCCTTCAATGGGGGCTTTCTGGAGTAATGAACCAAAAGGATCTTAGAATGACAAAGTGAACGCATCCTGGTCACCAGCATCCTGTATCCCCAGTGACCCCGGGCTCCTCTCCCGTCTGCGCTGGGCAGAGCTGGGGCTCAGGGGGGGCTCTGATGGGGCCTCTGCTCGAATCCCCCCACCTGTTCCCGGGGTGAGCAGTGCATCCCCCCGGTGCTGGGGGTCCTGCTGCTGAAGGGCTGTGGAGCTCGGGGGTCTCTGCGGTGTGGGGCTGATGGATTCCTGCTTTTCTCTTTCCTACTCTGCTCTAATTAACCCAGCAAAAAACCCCCTTGCTTTCCTGGCAAAACATCCTGATACCCCAGGGAAAAGCATCTTTCTATTTCAAACATCGTTTGGTTCACAATTACTTTCCTGCTTCCCTTTGCACACTCCTGCAAGCAGTTATTTCTGCAGTAACATCCTTCTTGTGTCGACACGTTAATAAAAGCATCTTTAAAAGAAGGAGAAAAGGCATTTGTGGTTAGTTCTTTGGTTACAGGGAGCGAGTGAACACAGGGATAATAACAAACAGTAAATACCCAGCTCTGCTGGAGGGAGGGGACGCGGGGAGCTCTGCTCTCATGTGCTCCGGGGGTCCCGGGGCTTAAAGCTGCTCCTGCCCTCGGGGTGTTCAGAGCCAGGAGCGAAAGGACCAGGCCCAGAACTGCCCCAATTCCCCAGAGATTTTCATTTACTGGTGCAGTCCATTCCCACGCTGTAGGTGCCTCCCTGAAAGCAAATACTGCAGATATTCGGGCAAGGTGTGTGGGATGGTTACTATAACACTATCCATGTGCCTGCAGGAGGCCTGGCTTGTTACGTGGCTAAAAACTGGATGGGATGCCCACACTGAGGTGATTCCCACACTGCGCCGCAAGCTTCTCCAGCCCCAGTGTCCACCAGGAATCCCCTCAGTGTGGGAGCCACGGGGCCCGGGGCCCGGCCACGCTCACAGCAATTCCTGCTGCTCCCGCTCCCCCAGCTTGGGCACTGGCTCCGCTCAGCCCTTCCCAGAGGGACACCCCGGCCCCAGTGTGGGGTTGGCACAGCTGAAAGCCATCGTGGGGTCCCCAACCTGACTCTTTTACTCCTCTGCCCCGTCTCCATTTCTTAAATTATGGCTATTTAGCTTCAGTGTGTAAACATTTTAATGAAACTTACAGAAATGGGTTACCAGCTTCAAGTCCCTTAAGGAAAAAAACCAAACCCTAACCCGAATGGTCGGCTGTACTGCTGGAATGCTGGATGCTCCCTTCGTAGACATAAAAATAATAATAAAAGTCAAGAGTTTCGTGCTGGCCTGCCAACACCATCAAGAGGCTGAAAATGTCAAATGATAGCACCATAAGCGTTTCTGAGAGGTCTCCCCCGAATTATTGCTGCTTTTGGTATCCCTTCCCCAAAATGTTCCCCGATGGAGGGTCCCGGCTGCCCCAGCATCTCCTGCGGGACCAGCGGGACCCGCATCCCCAGCCCACGCCAGACCTTATTTTTCAGACCGATGGTTTGAGCACCGTTATAGTGTAGCACAAATAAAAGAAATCAAGCCTTTCCCCGTGTTTTGTAAAGAGCACCGGCCGGCGCCGCCGCGGGACGAGGCAGAGCCGCAAGTCCTGGCCGTCACCCAGCTCCGGGAGCCCCCGCGGGTCCTGGCGCTTCTTGGGGACGGTCCTGTCACCTCCTGGAGACCCGCTCGTCCCCGCGGTCCCGGCCGGGTGCCACATCGTGCCCGTGCTGGCGGCAGCTTCGGCAGCACTGGAGGTGGACGGTGGGGAGGTGGCACCTCCCCAGGACCCGCAGGGTCTGGCAGAAGCCGAAGGTCAGGCGGTCGCGCTCGCAGACGAAGCCTGGAGGGGAGGCGAGAGGGAAGGGACAGCATTTGATGCGAGGGTTTTGCAAAAATTGGCAGGAGACAAAGACAGACCCCAGCAAAGGCAGTGCCCCCCCTGCCCCGGGTACCCAGCATCCACCTTATTCCTAATTGCCGGCAGAGATAACACCTCTGCTCATCTGCAGCTCTGCAGCACCTTCCCAGGGGGGAGAAACCATCTGGGGGAGCGGGGCTGAGCCTGGAGCTCTCTCCCCAAGGAGGAGAGTCTGTGCTGGAGGCCCAGGAGAGATGACAACCCCCCCACAATGACATCTCCCAGTCCCCAGACCTTCCCCACAGCCCCAGCAGAAGGCGGCAGAAAGGCAAGAATTCCTTTTTCTTTGCATTGTGTTTAGATTATTCTGAGAACCCGCGTCGTCTGGGTCGCTTCCTGCAGGTGTCTCACAAGCCCCAGGACATCGACGCTGCTTCAGGGACGGGCTTTGTTTTGGGAACCACTGCCCCAGCAGCTCCCAGCTCCATCCCCAGCCGGACTGGGCTCAAACAGGGGGGAGCTCGGCTTCATTACAGCAGCAGAGACCCATCACCAAATACACATCATTTATAGGCACACAGAGTTGCTTTGCTTACGTTGTTAATTTCCTCCTTTTCTACTTGGTATCAAAACACACGTGTGCCTCACTGAGCCTCCAGCATCTCACCCCGCTGTGGAAGACTAATTTAAATCACAGGGGCTCTGTCTAATTTTACCTCCCCTACAAGTGATTAAAATAAATGACAGTTCTTCTCTGAAAAAGGGCAGAGTCGATGCTCCCTGGGGCCGGCACCCCCTGTTCCCCCCACCCTGCCTCTCCCCGGGCACCCTTCACCGGGGACCACACTGAGCCGACACAGAAACGGGGCGAGAAAACGGGCTTTTCTCTTCCTGAGGACACTTTTTCTGCTGGGGAAACACCGGGCCCGAGGCAGGGGAGCTGGCTGAGCATTGCCCCTCACCATCTCCCCTCTGCGAACAAAAGGCTTTGCCGAGGGAACGGCTGCTGCCCCCATTCCCACGGGAGGAGCCGTCCCCGCGCAGGACGCAGCAGATGCAGAGACTTTTCCCCCCGTTCGGGATTTCAATCACAGCCCTCACCCCCCGCCAGCCCAGCAGCAAGGAGGTCACAATACTGATCTAAAATTAATTTTCTATTTCGGTCGAGGTATTTCCTCTCTTCCTCTTGAGCGACAGCTCTTTCTGCCGGGCAACAGTGTCTCTGTGCCCCAAAGAAAGCGTTTGACACAGAAGCCGCTGGCACCGCCGGCTCCGATGGACTGGCATCCCAGCCCCACACCACGCTCCCAGGCTGGGGGTTTGGTCCAGCCCCCTGGATGCTGAGGAATGACACGGGTTCTTCCTGCTGGTTGAGCAGAGCAGATGAGGAATTGCTGGGAAGCCCAGAGAGGGACGGGACAGGAGCAGTGCCCGACCCAAACCTGCTGTGAGAGCAGCCACAGCACGTGGCAGCACCGGAGCTGGTGGGGAAAAGAGAACAGTTCCCTCGTGCGATGCTCCGTCGGGGTCTGAGGGATGGTATCCCCTGGGAGCATCCCTGCGGCTCCACATGGCATCTCCTGAACCTCCAGAGCCCTTTCGCATCGGGACATGAATACACATAGTCCCGTGCTGCAGGACAGGGATGTCTCGAGCAGGGATGCTGAAACACCTCTGGGGTGGCTGATGAGAGAGAAAAGCCCAGAGAACCCCCTCCTCCTGCCCCAATGGCTGGCGATGACAATACTGGGTGCACCAGCCAAGCTCGGGCTGAGCACACCCCTCTCAGCATCTCTCCCCTCGAGCAGGATTTGGCAATCCTTTACCCTTCACTGGGGCAGAAGGGCTGGGTAACCCCCTCCTGCCTGCCCTCTGCTTCCCGGGGGGTTCATAAACTCGTGGTGGTTTGGGTTGCTGGTTTTGGAAGGGACACGGAGTCGGAGAGGGGGCAGGCAGGAGGGTGATTTATTCACTGCATGGCATGCAGCAAGCGTAACCGCAGTGGAAACCCCACGGTGTTTAGAAGAACTCAGATTAAAATACCCCACGGATGGACGGGAACGTCACCGGCACTTGGCAGGGTCAGTCGGGGGCGATGCTCCCGGGGCAGACCCCCACCGAGGGCCCCGTATTTTTAGCCCGTGGCCGCTGTGCCTTGTTGGGCTCCCTTCTGTCCATGAGCCCTCCGCTTATCGCAACCCTCTTCCTAGAAAGCTATTTATGGATCGCAACCAAGTTGCCTCCTGCCTTCCCTTGAAAGAGCTGTAAAGGCCACGCTTCTGGAGCCTCTCCCTGGAAGGTCGCTTTCCAGGAGCAGAGGTGATGGTTTTAGCTCTTCTCTGATCCCTTTCCAAGGGGTCAGCACAGAAATTCCTGTACCTGCAGTACCCAGAGCAGGACACAGGCATAAATAAGGCCAACGGGTCTCCTGCCAGGAGTTATTTCTCTTTGTATCCCCACGTTATCTGCAAAGGTAGGAGCCTGCTGCGGAGTAACAGCGGGGACGGGCTCGTTGGAGGGTGGAGAGGAGCCACCACCCTTGGCTGGAGGCACCGCTGCCACCCCTCTGCTGACCTGCCCCAAGACCCCACCACAGGACGCCGGGTTTCCAAATCATTTCAGTAAAATGAAGTCCATGGGAGCTGCTGAGGGCTCATCCTTTCTCCGTGCCCCGCTCCGACGGCTCCCCTCGGCGCGGACGTGTGCGGGGTCAAGCTCAGGTCTGAAAACCTTGGCTGAGCTCGTGATTCCTCCTTGGAACTTGGTCTTGGGCAAGGGAAGCTGTAATAAGCACTTAATTTTTCAGCTCTTCAGAGAGGGTCCCTGCAGAATTGACCTGATTTTCATTTAATGCTTTTACTGTTATTTTTTCCTATTAACAATTTTTTTTATATAATCCTAACACTTCATTTGAACACACGCTCCAGCGTTCAAGTCTATGCCAAATTTTAGGCTAAAGAAATAGCTTAAAGCAGGGCTTTTAAAATCCAGGCTAAGTCAGCACATTAGAAACTGAAAACCCTCACTTTTTTTGGTTGTTTTTTTAAGTTGGCGGGGAAGTCACTTTAAATTTCATTTAAGCTTCTGCCATACAGACCTAAGCATTTACTTTTATGCTGGGGAAAAATAAACTTCCTGGAACAGGTTTTGTAAAAACAAGGAAAGGTTGAGGGTAGAGCTGAGCCAGCAGAAGCAGAGAATTGAGCGGGTGACCTCTGCCCTTGGGGATGCTCCCAGAGCCCCTGCCAAATTTAGCAAGTATTATCCCAGGCTCCTGCTCGGGGCCCCACGGTGCCCCCGGGAATGAGCACTGGCAGAAGTGGCACATTTCATGGCAGGTAGCCCCGGAGCCACGGTCACCAGGTATGCCTTGTGCCCCACTGCCAGGCCCCGCCACGGCCTGGGAAATTGGGAGAAAAGCACAAAACCCCCAGCAGTTCCCAGGGGTGAGCCCTGCTGCTCCGGCACGTCTCCCTCGGCTCCCATCCACACCCCCCCAGCATCCAGCCCGGGGATCACAGAGCAGAGGGAGGAAAATGCTGGTGCCCTCTAAGAGTTTCAGGGGGCTTAGCCATTTTTTTAGAGTCTCTGGATCCCACAGAGAGAAAGTCTCATTTCCGAAGAGCTGCGGCACAGCCAGGACTCTCCCTACGCCCCTGCGTTGCCTTCCCTTTCCTTCTCCTGAGTGCACAGAGGGGGAGAAAAAGCCAGTTCTGCTGAAATGAGCCATTGAATGACCCCCAGCTTCCTCTCCAAAATCCAAAACCACTTTAAACACACCGTATCCAGAGCCTCCTGCAGCCCAGCCAGCCCTGCAAGGAGCAATCGGGCTTGAGCAGACAACTCTGACTCATCTACGGGGTCTTTGCTTTTTCTGCCTTTTTTCTAACACAAAGATGAGGCCGGACAACGGGGCTCGGCAGCAGCACTGAGCCCTCCTCTCTTCCAGCACCGAGGGAAACCAAATCCAGGCAGGACCCCCAGAGGGTGAGGGCCAGCCCTCCCCCGTGGCTGAGCACAGTTGCTCCTCCAGCCATGGCTAAAGCCCCGTGTCTTCATTTTTGTCCTTGTGTTCCCCATTTTTAGCACCTCAAGGCCAAGGCCAGTATCCTCTCCGCTGAAGGTCTTTCTTCTGCACGGAAAAAATATGCCTTTGATGTATTCTGGGGAGTTTTCAAAAAAGTTAATAAGGGTTAATATCTTGTTGCTGGGATTAGGCTTTGCCTCCTCCCTGCCAGGCTGTTTTGGGAGGTGTTGACCAGGGGCCCCTGGCAGAGGAGCCCAGGCTGCAGCCACCAGGTCCCTTGGGTGCCTGCACAGGGTGCCCCGTACCTGGACACCCGCACCCAGGGCGGATGAGAAGCACATTCTGGTACCCTCCTAGTTGCTCGCACTGCACACTGAGGTCCATTGAGATTTACGTTTTTCCAAAACTTAAATCTACTCACTGGTTGCTAAGGAGGAGGGAGGAAAAGCATCTCCCACCACCAGAAGAAGAGCATCTCCCACGCTGGAGGAGAAGCATTTCCCATCACCAAAGGAGAAGCATCTCCCACGCTGGAGGAGAAGCACATCCCAGCACTGCTGGTCAAACCAAGGTTATTTACACACAACCATGCTGCACTGCTGGAAGGAAAACCCCCCGTTCTCGTTGGGGTGAGGAAACCTGCCTTTCTGGCTCCATCTGCCTGATGTCTACTGTGTTTTTTTCTCCCATTGCCCAGGTTTTCCAGGGAGCCATGCCACGCTGACCTGCTGTGCAGACCCAGCTGGTGGGCCGGTGTCTGGGCCCATTTCAGAGACCCCACAGCACCGTCACGGCTCCAACCTGGCATCAGCATCGACCCCCTCCATAGGATGGGCCGACATGGGGACGCCTGAACAGCTTCTGCCAGCCCCTGTCATTGAGAGCCCATGTCTCCATAAAGCTAGAACATGTAACATTCATTTCTCCTACATTTAATAAAATCGGGGAGCCCTTTCCCGAGCACCCATTTCTCATTGAAGGCTGTTATTAACTAGCAGTAAACAAAGGGCACTTAATGACTCGCCTGGTGGCACCTCCCTGCCGTGCCCCTTGGCTACAGGCTTAACTGCTCAAATGGCAGAGAAAATTGGAATCTGCTGCAATTATTTCTAGTCTGTGTCCCTCGCGGACAAATTCAGCTACACGCACAACCATGAATAATGTCACTTCCCCTACTCAAAGCAAGGAGGAATATAACATTTAATTGCCAATTAATCTTGAGGGAACTAGAAATACAACCAACCAGACCCTGGATAATGAGCTCGGAGCACCACAAACGGGGGGTGACGGGTGTCTGGAATTCACCCCAGCACATCCCTGGTGCGGGGGGGGGTCTTCACCCCTCTGTCCCTCCACCCCAGGCATAACCCCTCTCCCAGCCTGTGCTGGCGGCTGAACTCCATCCCTTCCTGCTGGCTGGAAACCTTTGTCTCCTTCCCAAGGAAACCGTATCCACGGCCAGCTTGTACATATTTGTTCTGGGGCCAGCTGAACGCTTTACCTTAATCCCTTTCCCTCGCTGGTATTTAAAGCCTGAGCCGCTTGTGGGAACGGTCGTGTTTGCTAAAGCGCCTTGGCTGGAGCGAGGAACCAGAGCCCTCACCTGCCTGCCACCTGCTTGGGGTGAGCTTGGGGAACTCGCAGACTCCAGAGAAACAGGCACGAGGAAAATTATTAATTTTATGCCATTTACCACAATGAGCATCCCATGGGCTGCAAGTCTTCGGTCCTGAGCAGGGCTCTTCACCCATCCCTGCGGAGGTCTGGCCCAAAAGCCACCATACAGACACAGCCACCACGTTCACAGCAGCAGAGCAGCTTTTGCCCAGTTCACCCATTAGCATCCTCCTCTAATACAAAGCCATCACTGCTGTTGTGTTTTAAAACTGTTTGACCTGCTGGATAAATCAGCGCCAGCCAGCAGATCCGAGCTCTCAGACGGGATCTGCTGCTCAGCCCCTTCCCAAGGTGGCCATAAACCAAAGTGTAATACTTAAAGGCAGAAATAAACATGCTGTGAGGGTTTTTTTCCAGCGTTCTGAGTTAGAAGAGAAGATCCAGTAACAGGAGTGGCTGATGTGGGTGTGAGAGCTCGAGCTTGGAGCTAGGGCATGGGTGGAAGTCAGACAGCAACAGGCTTTCCCCAGCCAGAGCCTGCTCTTATCTCCCCAGCCCTGCCCGAGGTCCAGTAAATCTGTTCCTGCTCCTGTCGCCCAGCCCGTGCTGTCAGGAGGACAGCCATGTCCCCCTCCTTCCCCTGGACGCCAGCAAGGACCTGCAGGGCTTTCCCAGGTGCCCATAGCATGGGGGCGAGCAATGGTTCTCAGCTCCCGTGAAGACTTTCCCACACTGGAGTCGTGTTTGTTTGAGCTCCTCGTCTTAGCACGGAGCAAGATAAACACCCCCAGCCCTGCTGGGGCATCGCACGGAGGCATCCGGGTGCTCGACGGGCTCCGATGCTTCCCAAGAGCCACCTAAGGACATGGCCAACCTTATCGTCCCCGCTCACAGCTGGACACAGCTGTAAAACGACAGGCATATTTAAAAAAAAACCCCTGTGTAATCATCAATTAATTTATAACCTGGCAACAGAATGGGATTCTGGTTCTAATTAATTCCGACCTCCTCTAATTGAAGAGAGCTGATTGCCAGTAAGATGTTTGTTTATGTTTGATCTGTTCCACCTCCGTTAAAAATTCATCCAATAATGGCTTTAACATTTCAACTCTAGCGGGGTTATTCGCATTCCTGTGTCCAGCGAGAACACGAGTGCTCACAAAGACAAATGCAGGGTTTTGTGGTAGCACTTCACCTTGGAGGAGAGAGAGGCTCCTTCTGCTTCTACCATAAACACATGAATCACCCCAGTCCGCATCAATCTTGTGCAGTAACGACCCTTTAAAACACAGGAAAGGGCCGGAGTTTACGTTCCTGCCTTTTCTGGGAGCCTCTGCCTGTGGATTTACACATCTGTGATTTCCTGCCTTGTGAAAGTTTTGTTCCTCTTCATGGTTTGGCAGGAAATGTTTGTATTTCCAAGAGGCGTTTCCTGCGCTGGGCTACAGCCAGAGCATTTATGTCATTTTTAATCCAGGATTTTAACATTTATTTGTGTCCTTCCTACACATCTAAGTGGTTATTCTGGTACAACCTTGGCCACACCGTGCAGATCCACGGCTCTCATCACCGAGCCTGGCTCGGAAATTTTCCCTTGACAAAAATAGCCAGAACTGCACATCAGCTCTTGACCAAGGCTGACTAATTACCTCCTGAGTGTCGAACTGCCCAACAGACTTACAAATGCAGGAGGGGTCACAACCCCCAAAAAGTAGGGATGCTAAAAGCATCCCAACAGCCAGCAGTCACAGTCTCCAAATCCCAGTTAACCAAAGCCAGCGCTTCTGCCCTCCCCAGAACAGGTTTTAGGAGGAAGGTGGCCAGATCCAGGACAAATACAAACAGCTGGAAGGATGAGGACGGGTGTCCCCGGCTGCAGAGTGGGACCTGCAGGGAGGTGTGGGGCAGCCCACGGGGCAGGCTCCTGCTCTTCCCTTCTGCAGTAAACCTCCTGAGCATATAATGTTTCTTTCCGAGCAGACAAAAAGCTTTCTTTTTTTTCCCCTTTTTGCCCAGACACATTAAAAAGATAAGGTCTTTTTTCCCCTTTTTGCCCAGACACATTAAAAAGATAAGGTCGATTAATGATTAACATGCTGCTATCAATGCCATCTAACCCCCTCATTATATGGCTTTTCCTTTTCAGTGCTGTTAACCCCTGCAGCCCACAGGTTTCTGGCTTACGGGGAACTTCCCGGTGCCGTGGGACGTATCTCTCCAAGTGGCGACGGGAGGAGAAGCCAAGTGATGCTGGCAGACAGGGCTCAGGATAAAAGGGGACTGACTCACTGGAGCACGAGCTCGGACATACCCAGGGACGTGGGAGAACCGGTCTTTTATCTGACTTTCTCCTGGTGCACCCTGGTTTGTTTCAAGAGGTTTGTATCCAGGACTGTTATCACTAAACCGCTTTTTGGCGGTCAGAGAGGCGAATCGCTTGGTATTTCCTTTTGGTTTCCCTTTTTCTGAATTACACGTTGCTTCTGGAGCAGGTCCCTGTGCCCGATGCCACCCCCGGCGTGGTCACTCGGGCAGGTGGCAGTGGTCCCTTTCCCTGGGTGATGCTGCTGGCTCTGACAGGCACATCCCGGCCCAAACCCTGCCCCAAACAAACCCCGCTCGGCCCCTTGGGAGCTGAATGCTCTGGGTATTCACAGGCGGTTATAACATTCCCACTTAATTATCCATTAGCCAAGCCAGCCTTACACAACTCGTGTATAAAACACCCCCTCTCATCTTCCCAGGGGTACATTGCTTTTTAGTGGGCTGACTGGTTTTCCTTCCTCCCCCATCGCTCCCCTTGATGCAGCCGCCACCAGCTCCCAGTTTGGCGGCACCAGCTCCCAGTTTGGCGGCACACCAGCACCACACACGTCATGTTCCCCACGCCTGGCCCCCCATCCCCTGTCCCTTCCTGGGGTCCCCCCCCAGCAGCAGGATGGTGTCACACCACTGGCCAGGGGGGAAAGCGCAGGGCATGGGCTGCCCCGGGGAAATTAATGGAGTGTGGCTCGTCTGTCAGCACAGCCAGTTATTGCTGGCGCCCTCCTCCAGACTGTCCGGGGGGACCCAGGGAGTGAAAAGGGGGGAGAAGAAAAATAAAGAATGAGTCTAAACTTGGCTAGAAAAAACATCTCCGGTTACTGGACCATGAAACGGGTCGTGTTCTTACACGGCCTTTACATCATTTCACAGTGCGGCTTCCAGGAGCCCGGGTGGACCACCCGGCCAGCACACAGCATGCCCACCCTGCGCCCACCAACGCGGAGCCATTGAAACCTCCCCAGCACATGGCACGTCAAGTGACACTGTGCTGTTCCTCATCACCTTGCTGCACGACCCACAGTGAGCATAAAAACTGGGCACACCTGATGTCCTAACTGGGTGCTGCTGGATCAGCCCTCACTGGTGCTGCATGGTGGAAAAGCATCTCCAACCACAGCAGAGGATGGTGATGGACTCACTGGTGCTCTATGGTGGAAAAGCATCTCCAACCACGGCACAGGATAGTGATGGACTCACTGGTGCTCTGTGGTGGAAAAGCATCTCCAACCACGGCACAGGACGGTGATGGACTCACTGGCACTGCACAGTGGAAAAGTGTCTCCAACCACAGCAGAGGACAGTGATGGAGGACAATGCATTGCTCCTTCATAAAACTGATGATGGAGAAGCCACTTGCTCGCCAAGCAGTATTCCTTAACTGAGGGCCTGGGTGGTTTTCACACCAATCTCCACCATTATTGCCATGTCCTCAACAGGCAGCATTTAGCCCAAACAGCGCACGCAGGCTCTTGGGGAGCACAGCCACACTGAAGAGATGATGTTCAGCTTTTGGGACAGTCACTTACCTGACTCGGAGCTCTCGCAGTCCTGTGGGTTGCACTTCTGGGTGCTCTCGGGCCAGGGCTCATGGTCACAGAGGCTGCTGTCCTCCTCGGCCAGCCCTGTCTTGGTGTTGATGCACTTGACCTGGCGCCGCTGGATGCCCCCGCCGCAGGGAGCCGTGCACTGTGGGAGTGGGGCAGCCCTGTCAGCCCCTGGGGGGTCCCATCCCCACACCCCACACTGCTGCCCCCCAACCCCGTGCTGCATCAGCAGCACCAGATCATAGAGTCATAGAATCATCTAGGTTGGAATGGACCTTCAAGATCATCTAGTCCAACCATCAACCTAACTCTGACCAAAAAAAAAAAGAAAAACCCATCACTAAATCGTGTCCCCCAGCACCACATCAACCCATCTTCTGAACACCTCCAGGGCTGGTGCCTCAACCACTTCCCTGGGCAGCCCATTCCAAGGCTTAATAACCCCTTCAGTGTAAACATTTTTCCTAATATCCAACCTGAACCTCCCCTGGTGCAACTTGAGGCCGTTTCCTCTCGTCCTGTTGCCTGTGACTCGGGAGGAGAGACCGACCCCCACCTCTCTACACCCTCCTTTCAGGGAGTTGGAGAGAGCAACAAGGTCCCCCCCTCAGCCTTCTTTTAAGCCTCCGATAAGACCCCGGGAGGTTTGTATTGCAGTAGCCCCCCGAGTGGCTTCCCCCACCCCATTTGCTGCACTTGGAGCCGAAGCCCCGTGGGGAGGAGTGGTGGGCTCCCACTCACCTCTCCCCAGGAGCCCACCACCCAGGTGGTGCAGGGGTGGGTGTTGCAGGGCCGGGTGGTGTTGGGCCGTAAGGTCTCCTCGCAGCGGCCCAGCTCCGGGCACGTCACCAGCCGCTCCTGCTCCCCGCCGCCGCAGGACTCCGAGCACTGCCGGGACACAAGCCACGGAGTGGGGAAGCCAGCCATGGAAAGGGGAGGCCAGCCATGGGAGAGAAAGGCAGACATGCTCCGTGCATCGGTGTTTTAAGAAAATACGCTGCAAACCCACCCTACAAATACATAAGTGCAGGCAAAACCTGCTTCCCAGGCAGAGAGCTCACTTTAGCCCTGCGCTCAGTGGGTGCTGCCTCCCTGGTGCCCAGCACCGGCTGGGAGGGTCCCAGAGGCAGGAGGATGCTGCAGACCCACTGCCAGCATCGCCTGAAATCCTGCAGATGTGGGGAGAGGGGCAGGCAGAGCCCGCTGCCTCCCTGCTGGCTGTGATTTGTTCAAGCAAAGCACGTCGCTGGGTGCTGCCGCGCACTTGCCCTGCTACGGAGCATTCGCTCTGGGCAAGCAAACGCCAAGCGTTTGGCCAAATGTGCTTCCAGGGAGAGAGAGGAAAAGTAACTGTGGGTGTGAAATACCCCACCATGGACACACCAGCTGCATTTCCCCAGGCAGGAGCGAAGCCCCGCTGTGATGCTCGGGGGTCCAGCGCTGCCCCCCCACAGGCAGCCCCCCACCCCAGCAGCTCCTACCTCTCTCCAGGAGGACGTGTACCAGTCCAGGCACGGCGTGCTCTGGCAGGGGAGCTGTGCTGGTGGTTTGTAGAGGACAGCCTGGCAGTGGAAGGGCCGCAGGAGCCTCTGGTCTCTGGTGTCGATGCAGTGCACGTCCCGGACCTTCGTCCCCCCACCACAGCTCCTGGAGCACTGGGGAATGAGAGGAGCATCAGGCCAGGGAAGGGTGGCAGGGGCCAGAGCAGGGGAATGACTCCGGCAAAGGAAGGAGACCCCAGGGACACGCTCTGCCTTGGGTTGGATTGAGTTGCATACAGAACCTCTCCTCACCTCCTTCTGAGCCCAAGCTAGAGAAAAGGTCCGTAGGGCTCTGAATCTGTCACTGCCGTCCCTCCGAAAGCAACTGGCTTCCAGTTGTAACCCCAACAAAGTCTTTCCTTACGACTGATGACCCCCCCATCTGCCGAGCCAAGAGACGGTGCCCACCCAGCCCCGAACCTGCTGGATTCGCCCAGCCCAAAGCACATACTGCTGCCTTGGGCAGGCTGGTGAGAATGTTTTCCAGAGACTTTCAAACCCCTCTTCATTTAGCTCTCTGCAAATTCCTGCCTTTTTTAACCAGCCCAAGAGCAGGAAAAATGGACAGATTATTGTGGGATGGCGTGGTTTAAACCCCGTGGCAAATACCAGTCTCCACCCTCCGCCTCCGTGAGCCATGGGGCACGAGCACACCCCGGGAGCGGGTCCCGCTCCAGACACGGGGATTTTTTTTTTCCCCCGTGGGTTTTTTGGGCTGCGTGTCCCCGTTACCTTACTCCAGTTGCCCACACGCCAGGAGGAGCAGGGTCTGAGGGAACACCTCCGCGCCGGGACGGGTCTGTTGGCGGCGGCGCAGCCCTCGTCGCTGCCGCTGCTGCAGCGCACGCTCCTCCAGATCGCGCCCACGCCGCAGGTGGCCGAGCACTGCAACACAGCAGGCACAGACACTGCCCCCCGTGCCCCCGGACCGAGCCCAGCGGGACAGCAGAAAGGTCTCTGGGACTCATCACCCCCTCCCTAGGGATGCCAGTAAAACTGAGGCCAGTGGAGGGTGATGCGGAGAGAGGAGCTCTCCCCGAGGCTGTGCCCATCACTGCCTGGACCCAGCCCCATGGAGAACCCCACCAGCAAGAGGCTCCTCTCTGACCAGTCCCACATCACGCAGCCCTCGGTTTGGGGGAAGGAGGAGGAGAACAGAATCACGGAATGACTTTGGGGGAAGGAGGAGGAGAACAGAATCACAGAATGAAATGGTCTCCAGAGGCCCCTTCCAACCCCATCCAGTCCAACTGCTGCCAGAGCAGGTCCCGCAGGAACGTGCCCAGGGGGTTTGAATGTCTCCAGAGACACCACCTCTCTGGGCAGCCTCTGCCAGGGCTCTGCCAGCCTCACAGGAAAGAAGTTCCTCCTCATGTTTAGGTGGAACTTCTTATATTCAAGTTTGTGCCCGTTTCCTCTTGTCCTGTCCCTGGACAAAAACCCTCCTCCATAGCCTTTTTCAGTCGTTTCTGGTCTGGCTGGGACTGTCCTTTCTCTCCTTCCTGGAGGATTCTCAGGCCATGACCCCGGGTCCCAGCAGCGATGGCATCACCCTGTGCCAGCGTCCTGGCCACGGCCACCCACATCTCGGTAGGAAACCAGGGATCTCTGCAGCTAGGGGGTGGCTTTAGCTTTTCTTGTTGCTAGGTCTCTATTAATTAGCACTAATGGCTTGAACCATCTGACTGCTGCCTCATAAAGCTCTGTTTCATGCCCTTCTTTCACAAGCACTGCCCGTCCCTCACTCTCTGTGTTAAGAGCTCCCATAAAGATTTTTCTCCACCTGAAAGGAAGTGCCTCCACCTCCTCCTTGGGATCCACACCTCGCTGCCCAGACTGATCTGATTTATTTTGGAGCAGCATTTCCATCTTGAATGCCTTTGCAGGGTTTTACACCCAGGCACCTCTGTCCCAGCGCTGCCACCAGCCCCATCCCTCAGCAGAGCCCCCTCCAACACCCCGGCTCCAGCCGTGTTCAATGCCCTTTTATAAAACCCACATCTGGGACTGCATTTTTGCTGATATTAAGCTTTGTCCTGACCATTACTGGGTCCTTTGTGCAGCCCTTCTTAAAAGGCTCCCCCAGCGCCCGTCTCCGGTGCTCCTGGACACCAAAGGCTTGTTATTTTTGTGCTTTCTGATAAAAGCCCATTATGGTGAATTGCTGCAGCCATTTGTCTGTCACTGCAAACGCTACCCAGAGAGCAGCCTGGGGACAGCCAGGCAGCAAGGCGAGAGCTGATAATTGCTGATAATCTCCCACTCACCCGCACTCAGCGCAGCCCTTCCCTTTGCTAATTTGCAGCCTTGCTGTGCCTCACACTTGACATTTCAAATTGTGCTTTTTCATGGCATATTTTAAGATGCTCTCTCCTATACGATGGCGGGAGCTTGTTCCTGTGTCAGGGGGTCTCCCTGGGTGCTCAGCCCCAGTGTGGGGGCTCTGTGCTTGCCCACCACCCGCCCCGGTCCCTCCCTGACAAGAAATGCCCCAGAGACCAGCCCAGAGGGACAAGTCTCACGTCCATACTGCCCACATCATGCTTTGAATGGGACTAACACATACCTCACTCCAGTTCCCGACCTCCCAGCTGGGCATCACAGAGGCTGCCGTGGTGGTCGATGGTGGAAGCAAAGCCTCCTCCTCCTCCCTTTCCTCCTTCTCCTGGAGCGGTGGGGCAGCGGGGGTGGGCTGGGATAACTCCTGCTCCCCATCACCGAAAGCAAATGTCCCTGGGGTTGCCCAGGGCCAGCTCTCCCCTGGCTCGGTGCTGCTGATCGGGGGCCAGCGGGAGGTCTGCTGGGCAGGGGGTGATGCTGGCTCTGGGTGGTGGGACACCCCCACGGCCCACCACGCCGGGGGGAATTCAGAGGAGGATGCTTCCATTGGGTGCACGGGAGGGCTGTGAGCTGGGGCGGTGGGCATGGCTGGTGCCAGGGCATCTTGGTGGGTGAGGCCGTTGGAGGTGAGCTGGGTGGCCAGCCTGGGCACGGCTGGGGACAAGGATACCGCTGCTGGGAAGGCTGTAGTGGCCACCAAGGGGGCTGAGGTGAGGGAGGTGGGGGCGTAGACCTCTGGCTGGTGCCCTGCCTGCCCCTCAGGACCCCTGTCAGCACCCGTGGGATAGGGTCTGACAGCGGGCTGGGTGCTGCCAGCACTCCGACCCATCTCCCACCACGGTCCCTGTGGGGTGGGGAAGGGAAGATCTGCCCTCTCTGTCCCGTGGGCTTGCTTGTGCGTGCCTGCCATCCCTTCTGGCATTTCTGCCCACCCTTCCTGCTCTGTGGCCCTGGGGGCAGCACCTTTGCCATCACTGGTGATGACAAGACCCATTTCCTTCGGGTCTTCATGACCTCTCCCTGCAGAGCTGGTCACATCATGCTCCTCACTGTTGGCATCACCCGGCCCCTCTGTGCTCGTACGCCCCTCGCTGCTGCTCCCCGGCTCTGCCAGGCTGTTGGAGGGCTCTGTGCCATCGTTGTCCTGGCCAGAAGGCTGCCGTGGGGAGGGATCAGTTGGGTAAGGAGCCCAAGGAGCGAGGCCATGGGCTGGAGCATCCTGGCCTGGACCGGTCCTCGTGGGCATGGCTCCCCAGGGTCCGGCCAGGGGTGGGTGGTCCTGGCTGTTTGCAGAGCCCCAACTCACGCTGCTCTGGGTGGGCAGGTGGTTGTCGGAGTGGGGCACAAGCATTGCATCCTCTTCCTCACCCATGAAGTCAGGGATGGCATATTTGGGAGCGGCTGTCCCCGCATCCTCAGGGACCACGCTCAGGAGGTCATTCACGGCTAAATCTTCTCCAGGAGGCTCCATCTCTCCTTCACCGTGCACAGGAGCAGAAGTGTTTGCTTTGCTGGTCACCAGATGGTCCTCACTTGCTTCTCCTCCCGGCTTGACAGTGTCCAGGTCATCAGCGGGCACCTCCTGGGACCCCTCCACATCGTTGGGGCTCAGCTCTGGCTTAGGCTCCTCGCCTTTCGTCTCCTTCTCCGTGAAGGGATAGTAAGACAGATCCTCATGGAAGTTGATAAAATTATAATCATAGTAAAAATCGTCAACAAAGACATTTCCTTTCCTGTCTGAGAAGTCCTCCTCAGTGATGAGATTGACATCATTGGACTCCGGAATATTTGGAATTAAGGGGTTAAATTTAGTAATGTGGTTGCTGGGGATGTAATGGATTTCATTGAATATCTCTCTGCTGGAGGACCCGCTGCCGGACCAGTCCATGTTGGCGCTGTCTAATTCCTCCTGGCACTGTGGCAGGGAGCAAATAGTTTCCGAGCTGGGTCTCTCTGCGGGGTCACAGGCGGCTCCAGTGCTGTTGCTGCAGTGAACAGGGCGCCTCTGTGTCCCATTTCCACACGTGGCAGAGCACTGGGAAAGGAGGAGAGGGGCAAACGTGAGGGATGGGAGCACGGGTGATGGGGGGAGCAGCAGGAGGAGCAGGAAAGGGGCTGGCAGAGGTGCCACAACCCATTCCTATCGACGGTGCCCTCCTCCCAGATACTGAAGCGGGTGCTGGGTGCCGTGATGCTTTGGGCACAGGGAGAAGATGCTCCACGTCACTCTGCCATGCTCCCACCACCCACCTGGGGGTCTCCTGTGCCAGTCCCAGCTGTGGCACGGGGTCCCAGGAGCAGGGGCTACTGGTCACACTGGTAAGCAGGGTTATTACCGGCCAAATCTACCTCCAGGGCTGTCTCCCTGTTGGAGACCGTCCCAGCACAGGGTCGGTATTGCAGGGTACCCTGCTCAGGGTGATCCTTGACCTGCTCTCCAGCCAGAAACAATATTCCCAGGAGACGGCCATTGGGCAAGATGACCTCATGGGTCTGTTTTACGACCTATCGCCATGGATTGCATCTCTTCTTCTAGAAGAGAAATTTTTGAAGCAGGGCATAATAACATGGGTGTTGTCCTGGTAGGGAAAAAGCAAAGGTCAATGAGCAGCTTTGTTGAGGACATCCCCTCCTCCACCATAATGGGCTCTTTGAGATTGCTCACTATAAAGGAAAACCACAAGCTGGAAAGAAGGACGGCAAAATTTTCTGCTGCATAAGTAAATGCTGGCGCTACTGAGATGACATGTGGGCTGCACCAGCCACAGGCCACCGCGGTTTGGGGTGACAGATGCACAGAGCATTAGTCACGTACATCAAAGCGCCTTCTACAACCCAGCCAACAAGAACAAACAGTCAGGAGGCAAACAGAGCCCCGGGAGGGGATTTCTGCTGAAATCGCTGCTATGGGGATGGAAACGGAGGGGTGAGGGGAGGGGCTGGTGCACGGCCACCAGCGCCTGGAAATGAAGAGGGTGAGGTGGAAGAAGCAGAGCTGCTGGGCTGGGCTGGATGGGTGATGTGCTCCTCACACAATATTTACTCCTGGATTTTGAGCCTTTCCTGTCTTTGCTTAGTCCTTGCAAGGGCCAGGTGCCCGGTGGGGACTTGCCCCACTCCCTGCTCTGGTTCTGGTGAGGTCCTGGGTGGGTGCCCACCCTGTGGGACATCTCCTGCCAGGCAGAGGCTTGTCTGGAGGAGATGCTGATACTACACACCAACATCTGCGGGAGGCGGGCAGGCAAGTGACTTCTCCCTGCTGGGATGGCACTGCCAAATCGGGGAAAACAGAGGTCAACTCCCACAGCGTGTGCCTCAAGCCAGAAGTTCTCAGCAAATGCCTCCAGCTCCATCCAGGAGATAAAGCCCAGGTATGGCAGCTCTTGCAGGGGGAAGGAGGGGATCTGTCTGCCAAGGCTCGGCTACAGGGAAAGCCCCTGGGACCCAGACAAGAAATCATTTCTGTTACAGGAGCCTCACGGGGGAGCAGCCAGAGCTCGAGGAGGGTTCAGTGTCAGGGACACTGCTGCAGGAGGCACCACGGCAGGTGGGACAGGCTCTGCAGGAGAGAGACACTCCCGCACGCCAACCCTCACCTATTAATGGACAACAAATAACACTTCTGAACACACCGGTAACTTCTTTAGGAAGTCCATAGAGCTGGGCACTGCTTTAGGGTCCTTCTGAAGGCACTAAGTCCAAGTGTTGGGCTACACCACTGCAAATAACCCCTTGGGCTCCACGGGCTGCCAGTGCCGACAGACGTACGTGCTGCCCTCCCCGAGGGTCTGCAGGCACAGGAAAAGCAACAACCCCCATTATTAGCACTGGACAAATGAACCATGGTTCTGGGAAGCTTCTGAGCTCCTCAAATTTCTCGACTTATCGGTGGTGGTGGGAACGGAGAAGAAAGAAGGCTCTCATTTGAGTGAAAGGAGGACAGAAAAATTACAGACAACTCAAAACCTCGAGCACATTTTTCCTGGGCTCACAGCTCCCTCGATGTCAACACCCCAGAGAAGGACTGTGGTGGCTTGTGCTGGCTCCGTGCACAGCACAGACCCACGGGCAACACGGGGTTTTTCCTTTGAACTGCTGCAGTCTGCTCTCTCAGCCTGGCAATTGTGGCTTTTGTGGGCCCCTAGAAAAATAGTTCTAGATAGCTCTCATTTAGCCTTCAAATTTTCTGTTCGCATTTTTATTCCATTTGTTTCTTAGCAACAATCTCAGTTCCCAGGCTCTCTCATTTCTCTCTCAATACTTGTCTTCACACTGAACACTTTCTGAAACCGCTGCTTAAATTAGGAGATATAATTTTCCGGTTAAAACCCTCAACCTGCGGTTAAGCTGATCCACAGAAATACAAAAATAAATAAAGGCTACAGAGGGTGCCCACAGACCACAGCATTTTATATATGAGCTTTGTTTTTTTTTTATCTCTCCTTCTCTTTAAAAAAATTGCTGGAAAATTTGTGATGGCTCCCCCGCTCCCTGGGAGCTTTGCCGAGGGGGTCTCTGCCTCTGCCCCCCTGGGAAGCAGATGCCCACCAGCCAGCACACACATGCCTGGGGCTTGCCCTAACACCTGCCTCAGCTGGCAAGAATTATCTTTAAGGCTTCTGCCAAAAATAAAACGGGGAAGGTTTGTGGTGCTGGAAAATACACTGAAGGGTTTAAAACCCCCTTGTTTCTGCCCTCCTTGCAATCAAGCACGGAGCATCCCTCAGAGAGGATGGGGCAGAGTCCAACAGCTCGGTGCTCCTTCCTCCCTCCAAGACCTCCCCGTGCCACATGGTTCCCATCCGTGGGAGCTGGTCTTCCACCTGAGCCCACAGAAAAACATCCCTGATTTTTTCCCATAAGGAGGAGCACACATGTGGCTCTTGGGCAGGCTGAGGACATCCTGCGGGCACTTTGTCTCCAGCTCCCACCAGCTTTGCGGGACCTCCCTGACTCTCCTCACCTCAGACCAGTTCCCCACGGCCCACTCGGAGGGACAGGGGACCTCCCGGTGACAGGGTGCGGTGGCCTCTGGCTTGGAGAGGTGCTGGCAGTCTGCGTGCTGCAGGGCCCTCTGCTCGTCCAGCCCCACGCTCTGGATGCAGAGCACCGTCCTCTTCATCAGCCCTGACCGGCCGCAGGTGGCCGAGCACTTCTGCCACTCGCCAACCCACCACCTGGGGAAACATGGAAGGGAAACACCTCAGCTACACGCTGTGCCCCACACGCTGAGCGCTGTGGGGTGGTGGGCTTTAGCCCAGGAGGTGGACAGAAGATGCACGTGGCCTTCAGCAGCCTGTAATGATCAGTGGGGCCTGGGGTCACGGGGGAGTTTGGATCCCAACCGCGGCTTGTGTTTCAGCCCGAGATGAGGGTCAGGGACAGAGGAGCCCCCTTGTAGTGTGGGGATGGTTCCCCAGAGGCAGAGAGGGGCTCCCAGCCCTGCCAGGATGGTGCCTTCTCGTGTGGCTCATGGTCTGCAGAGAAGCAACACATTGTGGCCGTTGGGCAACCACAGGTACTTGCTCCCATGGACCAACAAAGGGTCCGGGACCCCATTCTCAAGCGTGAGGGAAAGGAGAGCTGCAAAACCAGGGGTGCAAATTGCTGTGCACATCCTGGTGCAATCAGGGCATGGCAGTGACCGAGGTGCCCCCAACCCCGGTCATCCCTTGGGGCAGGTTTGGAGATTAAAGCTTTGCAAAACCTTGCTGGGCAGGGCTCCTCGTTGCACGTCCTCTGCTGGTCGTCGGGGCGGGTGAGGGCATCGCAGAACCGCTCCTCCACGATGCCCGCCAGCTTCTCCACGCAGTGCACGATCTGCCGCTGCACCCCTGGGGACACGGGCAAGGGACTGGCTTGAGACAAACATCGAACCAAACCACCGAGCATCCTCCACCAGCGGGCACAAGGGACTGGCTTGAGACAAACATCAAACCAAACCACCAAGCATCCTCCACCAGCGGGTGAGAGAAGGCCCTAAGGTAAGTTTGAGCCACCAAAAAACAGGGGAAAGAAAACAAAACTACCACCAAAACTGGAAGGTGAGAGCCCACTTCTGCTGAGGTACCGATGCCCTCATGAAACCCAACAGCACCTGTGTTTCCAGTGTGGGAAAAGCAGAGCTGGACACCTGGAATCAATCTGACACCTCTATGATGAGACCTACGGAGCTCAACTGGGCTGGAAATGACCCTGGGACAGGGACACCTGGGACTGGATAGATGGATGGATGGAAGGGAGCAACACTGGTCCAGTCAGGTGTGAAATGCCTCTGGAGCTGAGGTGCAGGATACACCACGTCTGAAGCTGCCAAGGAGGAGCACAGGATGGTGAACCCTGGAGATGCTGCAGCCCATGGGGGGAGCACCATCCAGAGCCTAGGATGGTGAACCCTGGAGATGCTGCAGCCCGTGGGGGCAGCACCATCCAGAGCCACATCCAGCCGTCGGAGCATGTGTGTGCATGTACATACACACACACACGGAGGCTTTCAGGAAGCTGTGTCCGAAGGGAACACAACTGACAGCAGCCCAGCTCTTTTTTGGCAGCTGCAGCTGATGGATAAATGACCCGCCGAAGCCCCCTGCCCCCGTCTGCAGCGCTCACGGGACATTTTTCTGGATGACCTCATCCCCCACACGCTGCCTCGCTGCCCGCTTTTGTCCTCCTTTTTGCAACACGTACTTGACCCATGACTTGGGAGCGCTGGAAGTACTAACCCTGCCATCAGCTGAGACTGACAGGAGCCTGCTGGAGCTGCTGAGCCGTGCTCTGGCTCGAGTGCTCGGGAGCTCATGGGGATGGTGGGAATGGGGTCCTGGGGCTGGTCCCCACAGAAAAGGCTCAGCCCGAGCTCTCCCAAACCCACCTCTCAGCTCCCACCATCATCCAGCCCAGGGAGAGGGGCTCAGCCCTCCTCCGGCTGCTCGCCTGGGGCTGGACAGGGTGAGCATCCTCACCCGCCTCCTGCCCAATTCGCTCCCCTTTCTCTTCTATTCTGGAAGTCAAGTGCTCAAACCTTGCAAAACAAGCTGGTTTTGAACAAAAGCAAGTGCCCTCAGCTCCCGTCCTCCTCAACACTGCAGGGTCCACGCAAACCCACGCTGCAGAGCTCTGAGCAAAAGTGTCTGTAAAACACCCCCCAGCTCCTGCGGCAGCACCAGCCCTCCTGCTCCCGCAGGGATCCCCGGCCAGCTCCCAGAACAGGCAGGAAACATCTCCCGGCACTTTGTGCTGCCTAGAAAACATGACTGTCCTCGAGTTCCCTTCCTTTCAGTGGCAGCCGCTCTCGAGGAAGCGCTGGCTGGTCCCAGCCTCCCCCCTCGCAGTGTTCCCCTCCATGGGCTGCCCCAAAGGCTGCCCCAGGACCCCCAGCTGGTGGCACAAAGGGGCAGGAGGGCAAGTGTCTGACACCATGGGATCCCAGGGCTCTGCCCCACAGCACCCTCCCGTGTGCTCTCCATAAAACCCTGGAAACCATCTCCCCACAGAGAGGCCCAGCCAGGCGGGAACCGGCCCTTTGAAACTCCCTGGATTTCCCTAAAGCTCTTTTGTCTCCGTCACCCTGACGCCCCGCACAGTAACAGGACACCCAGCCAGGGGCAAAGCACTGATAAAGCACGGGGTCCATCGGGCGAGCACGGTGGGGGCACCGTGGAGTGCTGACCTCAGCAGATGTCACTTTACCCCCCTCCAAGATCTCCTGAAACCAAAGACCCAGGAATTTCTCAGTTATCCCCGCGGCCCGGGGATGCTCTGCCCGCTCTGCTGCCCCACTGCCTGTGGCCGAGCCCCGGGGTGCCCCGGGAGCCCCCCTCACCGGTGCCGCAGGTGGCGGTGCAGGTGGTCCAGGAGCCGAAGCGCCAGAGGAACTCTGCCTGCTGGATCTCGTTCTCGCTGTCGGCCGGGCGCTGGATGGTGTACTGGTACCGCACGCCCGGGTTGGTCTCCTGGAACAGCAGCTGTGGGGACACACGGGTGGTCAGGGAGGTGACAGCAGAGCAGCCGGGGCTGGCTCTTCCACTCTCTTCAGGAGACAACAACCTGCCCAGCATGGCCAGAAAGGTGCCATTCTCCATCCAGCTCCGCGCCAGGGCTGCGTTACCTGTACCCCAGCAGCAAATCCTTTTGGAAACGGGGTTAGCAAATAGCCACAGTAGTGTAGGGGCAGAGGAGCTGCCCCTGCTCAGAGCACTGGGCTTGTGGAAATGTCAGGTAATGATAAAAAATAACACTGAGAGCATAAGAACCACCAGGAATTTGTTTTCACATCTCCCCTGATGAAGAGCCTGGAAGGATTCCCCTGTTAATCCCACCCAGTCCCACTGCCAAATGCAGCCCCATCCGAGGACCTTCTCAAGGTTCAGCAGAGTAAAGGGCCAGATGTCCTCTTCCCTGTCCCTGTCCCCAGTAGGAGCTGGGGAGGAGGTTTTACAGGGGCCACCACCAGCCCCAGCCCAGCCCGGGCTCTGCAGCCCATGGGGCAGGAACAACCCTCCCGCTGGTCAGGAGGACGCTGAGCCACCTCTGCCTCTCCCCATCCCTCCCGAGCCCTCAGCGAGGGCTGTTACAGTGAAGGAGGCTCTGACCATCCTTTGGGACGGCAGCAGAAGGAAGGGAAGGGGGCAGCAGCCAGAGCCCAGCCCCGCAAAGGAGGAATCGAATCTCCTCTCCTCTGCGTGTCCCAGAGAGCTGTGACCGCTCCAGCAGCCTCCCCGGGCAAGCACCGCAGCACTTCTTGGCTCAAGGTGCTGGCTGGTCCCCATTTGCACCTCCAACCTGCCACTGACCTGTCCTGGGCACCACCCCGGCGTGACCCCCCCTCTCCTGCAGCGGACGAAGGGGCTGGGGGCCAACAGGAGGGAGCCGCTGGCAACAACCACCAGTGATGGCTGATGGTGACACGCTCCTGAAGGGACGTCATTAATTGCTCCCCGCTTGGAAGGGGCTCCCACTGCTCTGACAGGCAAGAGACAGCTCCCGTGGTTGACACACACCCTGCCCAAAGCACCTCCTGCACCGGCGCTGGGCAATGGCCGGGAGCTGACCTGTGTTTTCCTGAGCCCAAGTGCTCCCACGACTGCCAGAGCTTTGTTGTTCTTGGAGCTTTGGCCGGAGCAGGGGCATCTTTCCAAAACCTCTTCATGACTATTGAAACATTCTTGTCAAAAGGTTTGTAATTAGGTTACGAATCCCAGAAAGTGATTTGCAGGAGCTGGGGGTGCCAGCACTCCCATCAGCACAGCCCTTGGCGCAGGCGAGCCCAGCGCCCCGCTCACAGTGTGAATTCAAGAAAGGGCTTCCCATAAGTTTGTGGCAGCCATGGGGCAGCCATGGGGCAGCCATGCAACCCGCCTGGGAAGGCAGGAGATCGGATGTCTCTGCCCCCTCCATCCTCCCCATCACACACCCCAGCCGCCAGCAGATCCCGGACCATACCTGGATCCACACGGGCTCCACGGTGGGCCCCGGGGAGGTGAGGTTCTCCCAGTTCCCCGTCCTCTTGTAGGTGAAGGTGGTCCCCGCCACCCTGTAGTCCCCATTCCACTGGATGGTCCAGCCCCCATTCAGGAAATACTTCTCCGGGTCCTCGCTCCGCAGCGCCAGAAAATTCCCAGCTTCTGCCACTTCTTCAATGCGGATCTCCCGTGCTCCCACAGGGATGATCCCAATATCAACGTAACCTGGGGATGGAACCGAGCATTGGTCTTGGTGGAGTCTAAGATGGGGCAGAGACGACCCATGCCCTCGGGTGGGTGCCAGTGTCCCTCGGGTGCCAGCATCGTGCCCATCCTTACAGCTCTGGAAGGCACCAGCGGGCACCAAACCCCACCTCGCGCTGAGCCCATCGCTGAGCAAGACGCTTCCCGTGTGGGTGCTGGCAAAGCGTTTACCACACTTCCAACGTATCCCTGTCAACCCACAAAGTCCCCTTAACCCTCTCCAGACTGGCTCCAGCACACACAGATTGGTTTTCAGGCTTTTAGACGCAAAAAGCAGCAAGGGGATGCTTGTCTTATGAGGAGTAAGCAGTGGACGGCAAAGCCACGTGTCCCCATGCTGTCCCTCGGGTCTTATCCCACCCAAATCAACAAGTCGTGATTAAAAACCACACTGCAAATGAGCGTGGAGTGGACCCTCACAGAATCCCATGGGGATGGAAGGGACCTCTGGAGACCATCCAGTCCAACCCCCGGCCAGAGCAGGTCCCACAGGAATGTGTCCAGGTGGGGTTTGAATGTCTCCAGAGAAGGAGACTCCACCACCTCCCTGGGCAGCCTATTCCAGGGCTCTGACAGCCTCACACGGAAGAAGTTCCTCCTCATGTTGAGATGGAACATCTTCTATTCAAGTTTGTGCCCATTTCCTCTTGTCCTGGCCCTTACCCAGCCCCTCGCTGTCCTCGAAGGTCTTCTTGACGGTGTGGCAGGTGGAGCCGTCCCCGTGGCAGACGCCGCACCGGTCCTCCACCGCGTTGGAGTCGATCTCGTAGTCGCAGCCCACGTTCTGCAAGGCAGCCCCATCAGCCCCTGCCCGCCCCGGCCTCGCACCACGCCAGCGGCCACCGGCGCGGCAGGAACGAGGGAGAGACGCGACGGTCCTAAACGGTGGGAAATAAGGAACATGGATGGGAGAATGGGGCGAGCTGGAGTCGTTCTGCAGGATGGGCTCGTACAGACACCTTGGCTGCCATACGGGTTTCTCTAACACATCCTTGTGGTCCTGCCGTCCTGCTCGTACGCGGTGAGGAGCACAACCCACACCTCATTTTCACCTTTTCCAACCCGAATCCCTGGGCAGCAGAGCCTGCTGGCACACGTTATGGGCTGGGAAAGCCCCTTGGTCCTCGGCCCTGCTAGTCCTGTTCCAAAAACACTTCCTGAAAACTTTTTATGTTGTGCTGAAGCTCTCCCCACCTCGTGCCAAAGCGCTCAACCTGCGCAGAGCGAGAGACTCCCTGTGATTTTTGCACCCTAAAAACCACAGCCAAGACCCCAGAGGGACCTGCTGGGTCCTTTGCCTGGAGCCTTTGCTGCCCGAGGAGGTGCCCAGGGGCTGCTGGCACACACGTACTGCAGAAACAGCACTGGTTTAGCTTCTGCCACAGCCCATCGTGGGCCAGGTTTAACTCTGGTGTCACAGGCTCAGCGGTGATGGGGATTCAGAGTGCAGTGAGCTCTGGGTGAAGGTGCTGTCACCCGCTGGATTGCACCATCCTACACACCAAGTGAAAGCCATGACCCCTGCGCTCCCCCTCCAGCCTCTGCACCGGCACATCACGGCTTCTGCAGTAACTTACAGCCCGTTCCAGGAGGAAACAGGACCTTCTCAAAGCCTCCAGTCACCGCTGGGCCCCTGCCCACAGCACGGCCAGGGAGAGGGGGAAGTTTCCACGAATGGTTTTGATATAAGAGGCTGCAAGGAAACTCGTTGGCTGATTATTTTCCCTATTTCCTGCTGCTCTTTGTGCCGTCCAAAGTGTCTTTTTTTTTTTTTTCCTTCCAAAAAACTGTGTTTTTCCAAAAAGCCTTTCAGAGTATCTTTATCTAACACTAGGGCAGGTGACACAGGGCCACCGGCTTTGCTGCAGCGTGGCTTCTGTAGGTCCCATGGTAGGAATCTGCCCTGCAGACCATGGCAGCTCCGACTCCCACCCATCTCCTGATTTCACCCATCTCACGAAACCCAATGCCACGTGTGTGTTTATTCCTAAACATGGGGCTCGCTGCCCGAGGGAAAGGGAAGGTGTGACTGAAGGGGCTGTCTCGCTGCCAGCGAAGGCCCCGGGGGGACGCAGGGCACAGCTCAGCAAAGCCTCCCCAGTCACACCAGCATCTCCCAGACGACTCCCAGCACCCACCCTGCCATCTCCACCAGATCCCCGTGCCTCCTGCACTGGGAAATGCCCTCCCGGGCCAGCAGCCAGAGCGACGCTGCCACACATCACAGCTCTTCTGGGGAGAGCTTCCAAGAAATTAAAATAGCAACCCAAAAGGAAGAGTGAATCCCAGCGCTGGGAGATGCTGCCAAACCGGGGAGGCACCTCCATCACAGCAGGTCAGACCCATGGCTGCCAGCTCCAGGCTGGGCATCCTCTCTACGCTCCCTTTCACATCCCAGGATTATTTTCAACTGAAACTCTTCTTTCTTTTTTTTTCCCCTGGGTTTGTGCTCTATTTCCCTGAAGCAGAAGCCAAATTACAGCCGTCCCACATGGAAAAAAGGAAAGGTTTCTGAGCGGTGAGTGACAAAACGAGCAACCTCAGCCTGTTGGTGTGTGCGGGAGGGGGGACAGGGCTCACCTAAGGGATGGGGGACGGTGCCCACCTGCATTTCCCCGAGCACAGGTTGGGGTTCCTTGGGCTCCCTCCCCGGTGCAGGACCCACCTTGCAGATGCCGTTGATGCACACGTCGCGGCTGGTGTTCATCTCGTAGCACGGCGTCCCGTCGATGACGGCGTCCCGCAGCTTCTCTGCGAAGTACTCGTCCTCCGGCCGGCAGTGCAGCTCGCAGGGGTTAACTGGGGGACCCAACAGGCAGAAACTAAACCCCAGCAGCTGGGGGCCACCGAACCACCTCCCAAAACACAAATTAACCCTGTGAGCCCAGCCATAACTTCAAATATGGCACGAACACGCTGCAAGGCAAATCTTACAGATGCGAACAGCAAGATCAAGCTGTCGGCAAGACGGGGTTTCGGGGTTTCTGTTGGGGCTGGGGGCAGAGACCTGGCAGTGGGCTTTGCCCTCGACTCACTGTTGTTGGGCACTGGCGTCCACTTGTAGAGCTTCCCTTTGTAGAGCATGGGGTTGAACTGGCTGCACTGGACCTGGCGGAAGGAGGGCTTGTCGGGGGGACACGGCCTGATGTTGCAAATCCGGAACCGCTTCCGCTCCCCCAGGCAGTACCTGCCCCCGTACTTTGGCCTGTTTGTGGGAGGAAAAGGCAAAAATCAGAGAATCATGGAAGGGTTTGGGTCCAAAGGAACCTTAAAGATCACCCAGGCCAACCCCCCTGCCAGGGACATCTTCCTGGTCCTCGTCAGGAGCATCCACAGCTTCTCTGGGCAACCTGGGCCAGTGTCTCACCATCCTCATTGTAAAAAACCTCTTCCATGTATCTAACCTAAATCTCCCCTCTTTCAGTTTAAACCCGTTACCCTCTGCCCTATCAGATAAAGGCAGACCACACACAAGGGGAAACTCCCTTTCCATTCCCAGCTAAGGGAGGGTGAGTTTGTACCTGCTGCTAAGGTTTCATCTCCTGAAGTTGGGTCAATCCTGAGTCCACCTGGAGCCAATGGGGAGCTCTCCCAGTTACAACCCACACATCCCTCTCCCACAGTGTCCGTGGAAGGCAGCTGGCTGTGAACCCAACATCCACCCCAGAAACAGCCCCACTCCACAGAGCAAGCTTTTGAAACATGTGGAAACCATGGCTCACGTCCTTCTTCTCCAAGTCCCTCCTGGACCAGCTCCCTGCTGCTGCTGCGGCTGCCGGGCTGTGCTACGGGACCATGCAGGGTGAGACATGGACCAAAGGCAGCATCTGCTGAGTGGTGGCTCTCAAGCCAGGTTAGCTACATCTCAGATCTTGTCCCTCTTAACAGTCTCTCCTTAATGTTTGAAATATGGCCAATTTTATAGGTCTGGTGTACCATGCTATACAAGCAGTTGTTAAAGCCAGGTGTCACCAGCAGTGTTCATGTCCAAAGCCCTCCCAGCTCCTGCACCTGCAGCTGGGTACCCTTCCCCGGGGGTAAAACATCTCCCTCATCATCCCGGGTACCGTGGCCGAGAGATGCCAGTGCTCCCACGAGCCAGGTCAGGCAGGAGGAGCTGCTGACTCTGATCCTCTACTGCCCAAGGGAAAGGCAAAGCTGCCGTTGGACTTTTTAAAGCAAGAGGGACTCTAAAAGCAACAATAGTTTTTTCTCAGATGCCAACAGACCCTCAAAATATTGCCACCATCTCCTGACGCTTGCCTCTGCCTTTGGGCACAGCACTCGCCATGGCCCGTGTCCTTACAACCTCATGAAAATTACTTTTCCCCTGATGATTTAAGTCTGGGCACACTTTGTGGACGAGAATAAAGTTAATTATTATTTTTGGGTTGTGTTTACATACCCTGCCCTGAGGAAATGCCTGCGGGAGGAGGACTGCCCAGCGCTCACATTTGTTCACTCCAGCCAAAAGGCAAAGCTGAAGATTTACCTACAGCGGCCAAAGCAAACAGCTGCCCAGGGAAATTCTCCTGCTTTTCCAGCCCTCGCTCTCCTGCCTGCCCACAGCTGTGTTTGAGACACGCCATAAACTACAACTGCACTTCTGCCACACAGCTCGTGTCACACACAAACCCAGCTCTTGACCCGGGCCCCAGATTACGCAGCACTTCTTCAAACAGCTCAATAGCACGTGCGGAAAAAAACGTGCCCGAGGAAGAAGCTGGGCAGAGAGCACATCTGGGCTCATCAGAGACCCTGCTCCTGAGCTTCCAGAGCTCCTCACGCCAACTGAAAAGCAGCGGCCACCAGTAAATTGCTCACAAAGCCCTTTTCCCTCCCAGACCCCGGGCGCTCTGACACCTGGGCAAACTGGGGATTCTGGCTGCATCCAATGCAGCAGCGATCTGGTGACAGAGGGGACACGTTGGGAGCAGATGGGTCAGCCCAGAAATCATGGATGGACAAGGCTGCTCCTCCAGCAGTTCCTGGCCTCTTCCAGGTGGGAGCCAGTGCTGGCTGCGGCACTGGCAGGCTGGGGGAGGCAGCCTCCGGCCAGGCACAGATCAGAAATTGTTCATGAAAAGCGACAGGGGGATAAACAGCAGCAGGATTTTTCAAAGTGACTCCGAATCAGGCTCAAAGAACATCTAATTTTTCTTTTCTGTCATGAAAGGACACTGGATGTGTTTTCCAACTACAGGTATAGAGCTTTTGCTGTTTGAGTCCTACTGCATCCACTCTCTGCCCGCACGGAATGGAACAACTCATTCCTGGAGGGTGACGGAGCAAACCCTTCCCCTCCAGAGGCACTCACTGCCCAGAGAAATGAATAATGACCCATGAAATGAATCCCCGGAGTGTTTCAGTAGCACAGTGATCACACCGATGACTGTGTGACGGGCACAGCTTGGCCATGCAACGCAGACAGGGGCAGGACCACGGTGGCCAGATGATGGTCCAGGGCTTTATGGAGCAGAGGACTCCTCTCCTCTAAATGGGGTCTGGGGGAGCTCTGGGACAGGGGAGGGCTCACTTACGTGGGGCTGCTGCACTGCCTCTCGGCGCTCTGCACGCCCGCGCCGCAGCTGCGAGAGCAGGATGCCCAGGAGCTCCAGGAGCTCCAGCCGCCGGTGATCGCCTCGGGACGGTAGCCCACGGGCACGCACTCGCCATTGAAGCACCACTGCAAAGGGAGAGGCCACAAGAAGAGAAAAACAAAGTTTAAGGATGCAATAATTGATGTTGAGTCAGAGAGCCCAGCCGACGGGAGCACTGAAGCCCAGTACCCGTGTTGTCCCGTGAAAATCCATGCTTTGCTCACACGGAGGTGAGCTGGGCGCTGTCAGAGCATCTCCACGCAATGGGAAACTCGGAGATGTTGGGCTGTTTGAGGATTTGTCCCAGGCAACATACCCAACCCTCCCCGGGAGCCCTCAGCAAGAGGGTCCACAGCTGGGTCCCAGCCCAGAGGGAAGGTCAGCAAGGCATCGCCACGGACACAGAGGTTTCATGGGGATCATCTCCGGTACCTGGGACCAAAAACCAAGCAAGGGGGGATGTCCGTCCACAGGTATTTTTATAACTCTGTAATAGTCTTATGCGACCTTGAGCAGGAAAACCCTGTTCTGGTACGTCACCCATGCAAGGGTGACCAGAGCTGGCTGCTGACAGATGGTGGCCCCTCGGGATTGCCAGCCCCTCCATGCCCCAGAGCAGGGAGAGGAATTCTCTGGGGAATTCCCCTGAGCAGGACGAGGAGCCTCAGCAGCCATGGTGGGCACTGCTCCCCGTTACCACCTTCTCCCCATTACCTTGTTCTCCCCGCAGGCCGTGCCATCGACAGCAGCATCCAGCTTGGAGTGGCAGGTGTTCCCCACCGTGCACCACAGCGTGTTGCAGACGCTCTGCAGAAAGCACAGGACATGGTTACGGCACCGGCCAAACCCACCGGCACACGTTTAACTCCCAGGGAGAGGATCACCCCGTGCAAAGCCCCCCACCCCGCAGAGAGCCCTTCAGAGCCACATGAGCCCCTGGTAGAGTCATAGAATCGTCTGGGTTGGAAAGGACCTTTCAGACCATGGAGTCCAACCACCAACCCAGCACTGCCAAACCCACCCCTGACCCGTGTCCCTCAGCACCACGTCTGCCCATCTTAGAAACATCTCCAGGGATGGGGACTCCACCACTGCCCTGGGCAGCCTCTGCCAAGGCTTCACAACCCTTTCAGTGAAGAAATTTGTCCTAATGCCCATCTTAAACCTCCCCTGGGGCAACTTGAGGCCATTTCCTCTTGTCCCATGGCCTGTTCCTCGGGAGAAGAGACCAACCCCCCAGCTCATGTCGGGGAGGACCCTGGCTTACATCCATGTCATCACAGAAGGTGGAGTAGGGGCCGTACTGCAGCCGGCACTGGTGGCCCACGTCGTAGAGGACACCCGGGGGCACCAAGGGGTAGTCCAGCACTTCCCGGGCAGGGGGGTCATCCAGGCACAGCCCCCAGCCCCGGCTGAAAGAGAGAGGTCAGAGTGGCATCACCCCCAGCCCAGCACAGCTGTACAGATGCTAACGGGGACACCGGTACAGATGCTAACAGAGACACCCATACAGGTGCTAACGGAGGAACCGAACAGCTCATTAACATCCCACCACCAGGAGAAGCAGTCAGCATTTCCAGCTGAGAGGACCCTGGCTCTCCAACCCACCCTGGAGCTGCTCCAGCACGTGACTGGGCACACATGGGTACCTGCTTTTCCTGCAGCCGGCACTGGTGGCCCACGTCGTAGAGGACACCCGGGGGCACCAAGGGGTAGTCCAGCACTTCCCGGGCAGGGGGGTCATCCAGGCACAGCCCCCAGCCCCGGCTGAAAGAGAGAGGTCAGAGTGGCATCACCCCCAGCCCAGCACAGCTGTACAGATGCTAACGGGGACACCGGTACAGATGCTAACAGAGACACCCATACAGGTGCTAACGGAGGAACCGAACAGCTCATTAACATCCCACCACCAGGAGAAGCAGTCAGCATTTCCAGCTGAGAGGACCCTGGCTCTCCAACCCACCCTGGAGCTGCTCCAGCACATGGCTGGGCACACACGGGTACCTGCTTTTTGGGGTGGGTGTTTTTTGGGGTGCCCGCTCCCAGAGCGATCACCCCGCTGCCCCCGGGCATGGCGGTGATGGGGAAGGCGAAGGGGCAAAGGCAGCAGTGGCTTTTCTGTGCAGCTGCGGGGCCAGTCCCTTGCTCACTCCCCCTTTCCCCCCTGAGATGCCTCTGTCCCCCCACTGGAAAGCCAGAAACGTCATTTTCCCTGGGAATAATCCCCCTGGATTTTCACTTTGTGACCAGGTCACGGGCTCAGCCCTCAGCCCGGACCCCGCTTTCGCTGCTCGAGGTGAAGGGTTTCATTGAACAAACATTTCCCTGCTGAGCAGCAGACGTTGTCCCCGCGCCCCGGCACCACGCTGACCCCACGGAGAGCACAGCCCTCGTGTCAGTGCCCCCCTAATAGAGATGGAGCAGGTTGTCAGCAGCAAAACACACTCGCCCTTGTATTTCCTGCTGCAAACTGTGCTCAAACTGCACCGGACAGGACGTTTTTAGAAGAAGCCATGGAAGTGAGCCCTGCAGGCTGGCCGTGGCAGGCAGCCAGGCTGTGGGAGCCACGGGGGACACTGCTGGCCACCCCTGCCCACTCTCGCTGCCGTCGGTCACAAACACACCAGAAACTGTCCCCAGTTTAGCTCCCAGTGTTGATTTGAACAAACTTGTTTCCAGCGAAGGCAAAGTGTCCAGCGAGGGTTTCTCAGCCGATTAGATTACTCTGGCTCCTTCTGATGGGGAACAGGTCTAAATTAACTTGAAACAAGTTTAACCCAATCCTTTTGAACCCAAAGCAGCAACACAGAAACCAGGGCCAGCAGCCGGGGGGGAGCTCCTGCTTTGGGGTGCTGGCAGTGCCATGGGGTGATGCCCGGCAGAACCAGCACCCCCTCCTCCCTTTCCCATCCCACCCCGGTGAGGTCCACCCCAGACGCCTGCAAACAGCTCACTTGGCTGGAGACAGCCCCTTAAAATACCACGTACATATATTTTTCTGTCCTGGGGTGGAGGGTGATTTAGATTTGCTGTCAGCTTTCCAGTGTGCTGTGTTCAAAATCTATTTCTTCATTAAATATTTTACAATCGTCCTACTGGTCTCTTCAATTGGCCAAAACATATTATCGAGCCAGCAAAAAATTGGCACGAGTTTCCCTCTGGCTTTGCAGGGATATGCAATAAACCCCACGCTGCAGTAAAAATGCACAGGGGTCTGCGCTGCGTCTGCCTCTCTCAGTCTGTTCGTTAACGAGCCGGATGATGGAGTAGATGGGATGGTGATTAAATCCCCATCTGTGAGCAGGCTGGGAGGATCTGCAGATACATTTGAGAGCGGGATTAAAATTCCAAAAGCACTCGGAGAACTGGAGGAAGGGTCCAAAAAGCCAGGAAGGAATTCAATAAAAACAAAGGCAAGGATTGGAGCTCGGGAGGAATCAGCTGCTCAGAGAGGGGATGTGGCAGCCCCAGCAGAGGAGCGATGGAGCAGGCAGGGCTGGAGAAGATCAGCCATTCCCAGGCTCTGGAAAAGGTGGGGATGGGCTGGATGGAGCCCACGGGAGGATGATGGCTGAAGACCCCCAGCGTGGTGCAGAGAGGCCAAAGAATTGGTTGTCTGATCTAGAGAAAAGGCTGAAGGGAGATGAAACAACCTGCAGTGGAGTCAAGGCTGCTGCTGAGATGGAGAGAGGCTGCTCCCCACCATCGTGGTGCAGACAGGGCATCCAGGAGACACCCACCCCTGTTTCACAAGGGTATTCCCCCAGCCAGGCCGGGAAAGAGCTCACGTCGTGGTGAGGGGTGGAGAGCGAAGAGCCTTACAGCATCCTCCAGCTCCTCCCAGGGTTAGGAGGAAAAATCACAGACCACCAAAAAGGGCTGGTTTGGGTCTGGAGTGGGGAGCAGCAGAGCGGTCCCTCACCCACAGCAGCGTCACCACCCGCCCCCTGAGCAAGGGGTGCTCATTCCCCTGGGGGTCACCACTGTCACAGCAGGGGGGTGACCTCTTCCATCGCCCTGGGGTGGACCCTGACCCACAGCCTCATCAAGAGGGTCCCCCAACCCTGGCTGCACCCCCGGCCTGACCAGCAGCCCTGGGGCCGTGCCACTGTCGAAAATGGGAATAATTTTCAGATGCTTAAACGTTCGGCAGCGTTTGTAAAATAGGAATCTTTTGTAAAATAATAATCAGCATCTGACTGTGCTTTAAAAAAAAAACAAACATGAGGCCTGTTCCAAGCACATCTAGCAACCCCAGGTCAGCAGGGTCCCACTTTCTGGCTTACTCCTTCCCGTTCTCCTGCCAGCATCATATTATAAGGCACTCATGTCTGTGCTGGCAGCGGCTTCTCCCTCGCCCAGGGGACGTCGCAGCCGGGGAAAGTCGCCTGCCAGGCTCTGCTCTGCTCTTGAGGAAGAGCTGCCCCTTCTAGGGGGGGCAGAGAGACCAAAACCCAACCGGAGAAGCCTCCAGCTGCTCCGTTTCTTCCCCGTCACAGCTCGTAGCAGCCCGAGGTCACTACAAGCAGGAAATTCTTCATCCAAAAGTGAAGGTTAAAAGCAGAGGGGCCAAGAACGCTGCGGATACGAGAAAGCTCCATTCCACCAAAAGCCATAAATCAACAGTAATTCACCCTGTGAGGGGGCCAAGCCCACACGTTCCGGGCTGGGATTTAGGAATGGGAGCTCAGCCCCAGGCAGCCCCCCCGGCACGAAACTGTGGGTCCCTCGCCCAGCTCCCCCCAGCCCCAGCTCTTGCCGCTGCTCTCGCTGTTTTCCTGCAGCAAGGAAGGAACATGTTTCTCCAGTGCAGAAACATGTTTCTCCAGTGCAAGACACTGGCTGACAAACCTAAGTCTCCGGGCTGTGTTCCTAGGAACTTAATAACAACAGGCTGAAAAATCAGCCACGGGGTGCTAAAAATAAACAAATACATGGAAGAATTTGGCTCGGTCTCATTTCCTCACGTGATGCCTCCTGCCTAGAGGCAAACATCATCTCCTCCTTGTGCAGCCCCGAAGAAAACTGCACAGAGCCTCCGAGAAAAAACCCCTCTGGCTTTAGCTGTTCAAGCCACAACCCCTGTGCCACCACCCCAACGCTTGCGCTGCTTTTGTGTTGGAACCCCCATCCTTTGCAGCAGGGACCGAGGCAGCCGAGCATCCCCACTGGCCCTGGGGCTGATTGCCAAGCCCCCAGCCACCCCCAGCACCCCCCCAGCGAGGAGGAAGAGGAAGGGAGGACTTACTCAAGGAAGCGTGTGATGTACTCCCGGCTGCAGCGGGACCAGGTGAGTGGGGACGTGTCATACAGGAGCTGTGGAGACATGATGAAAGGTCTTTTCCCAACTGGCTCACAGTCATTGCTGCTTCCATCATGCTGAATCCCAAAACTGTGTAAGAGCACAGCCCCACAAAGGAGAGGTGAGCCGCACGCCGCCACAACCGCGCAGCCTCGCCGCTCTCCGGCACGACCCCACGCCACGCCGGCCACCGCAACCCGGCCCAGCTCCAGCCATTCACGGGACTGGGGCATCTGGTCATACTAGTCATACCAGGGACACTGCCCCAGACTTCGTCCCATGCTTTTATTTCAGCTTTTTTTACTCAAAACTCAGCCAAGAAATATGCAATGAGACTATCGAACAAGATTAATTTAAACTTACTAGGTACATGGGCTTGCCATATAAAGGTATCTATTATGAACTGTGACGTTCAAGCGGTCTTGCCAAAATTTAATTGAAATTAGGGCAAGCAAAATTCTGCCACTGGTTCTATACACAGACCCTATGTTAAAACTCCCTTCTCCACCCTCTTCTCCGAAACCCTCAGCATCAGCAACACAGGACAGCATACAAATGCCGTTTGTCCAGGTTGCCTTGGGTTATGTGATTTTTCATTGAGCCTGGGGCAACCAAAAACCTATCTCAGAAATTAAACTCCCCGGGTAAGTTCCCCAGGGAGCGGAGGAAGGTTTGCACCAGCGAGGAACCGCTCAGGAACCTTCTCCCAAGTCCCACCCCTGCCTTTTCATCCCCAACTGAGCAGCGCAGAGGACAGAGGAGAGGAAGAGGAGGAGGATGAGGAAGCTGGTGGTACCTGTGTCCAAGCTCATGGGCCACGGTGAAGGCCAGGGGCAGTCCCGTGTCCTCGTTGATGTTGCAGCTCCTGTGGGGCTGGCACATCCCTGCCACGTGGGACAGCCCCAGGGTCTCGCAGGGCCTGTTCATTGCGGCGCAGATGTCCTTCCTGGGGAGGTGGAGAGGACGGACACACGGACACAGAGCAAAGAGGGGCTGTGAAAGCAGCAGGAGCCACCGCGAGGCACGGGACGGAGCGTGGGACACATCCCAGCCCGTGAAGACAGACGGACACTGGCCAAACAGAAGCCAGAATGGAGACATCCAACGTCTTTCCGCAACAGAAAAATTTACGACCTTTCCTGTCCCCTTTACTCTCCCAGTATCCCCGGCTTATTATTAAGCCTGATTAATGGGAACTGCTAGCCAGCCTGGCTACATCCATTCCATTGTATAAATAAAGCTGATGTTGGGGCTAATTAAGCAATTACTACATTGCTTGGGGAAGCACATCCCAGGGGTGCTGTGGTCCAGGGCGGAGGAGCTCCAGCCACCCAGGAAGAACAACTCCATTGAAGTGCATGGCCTTAAGTGCCTTAGTTCTTGCTACAAAGAGAACTTCCTGCAGAAGATAAAACTGTTGTGGGTTGTGAATCATCACACAAGCCACCGCCGCTGCCAAGAGCCAAGCTGCTGCTGCAGCCTGAAACCATCAAACCCAGTTCTGACTGCAAGGTATATAAACTTGGCCAGAGGCACGAATTCCTTCCAGCTTCATGGGAGGTCATGGGCCTCCTCAGAGGCTCCCCTGCCAATCCCAGCATTAGCCTCCAAGGCAAAAAGGAGAGTTAATCCTTGTGTACATCTCCCAGGAGGATCCAGCCATGCTGGGGCTTGGCAACAGGGCCACGGTGAAAACCTGGTTTGGAAACCTCAACTGGGAGCCGACCGGGAGCCCTCTCCGGTTTTAAACCTGAGATTTGAGACCAGTTCCAGCCATTAGGACCAGTTTATCTTTGGATTTCATGTTCCATATCTGATGTGCAGGTGTCCAGCCAGGGCTTAGGCTAGGAGGGAGATTTGAGGAGCTCTCAACGAGATGTTCCCCGGGCTGCCTCTCTGTCCCCCTGCCCGCAGCCAGCAGACCATCTCCAGCACAGAACTGGCACGTGGGGACAATACCTTGTGAGCAGGACTGCGACGTCGTGATGCAGGGGATGGGAATCTCCTTTCACGTTGATGCTCTTCTGCCATTTGCAAAAGCTCCTCAAGGTGTTGTCTGCGTGGTGGGAGATTTTCAGATCCTCCTGCCAACACAACGAAAAGGCTGCTGTCATATTGCTGCCAGATCTGCCTGGGATTTTTGGATGCAGGAGGGAGGGGACTGATCTCAGACAGATGAGAGTGAAATCAGGAGCAACTGCCATCCAGATGGAATTGCTCCATATTTATAGGTTGTAGGCTGGGTGGGAATACAATCCTTTTCTGCTTTCTTTTCATCTGTGATTCAACTGAAACATTACATTATCTGACACCGGGGGCTAAGAAACACTGTGGGAAAAGATCCCATCCTGGCTGATGGGGAAGGACGGAGCTGGGGAGCCCATTGGAGTGGCGTCAGGCTCCCCGAGAGCCACTGCTGCAGCTGGGAGCACAACCAGCCGGAGACCCCCTCCCTCTGCTACCTGTGGCCACACCGAGTTATCCTAAATTATTATAAGAACGAGACCCTGCAACTCCTCTGGCCGTGGTGTCCCCTTGACTTCACCAGGGCTGCAGCCCACGCAGAAGACCAGGCAGGCAGGCACGGGCATCTGCATTTATCTTACACAAACCCACCCAGGCCATGGAAACAGTGCCAAAGAGAGATTCTGAGCTTTCAAGGCCAGCTCGCCGTGCGTCCCAGCCCCGCTGCCAGGAGGGGAGGCTGAGTCACCCTGTTTGCTTTTTACCTCTTCGTCTTCCAGCAGGATGAGCCGCACAATGGCGATGTTGATGGGGTTCCCGATGCTGGCGTGGTGGAACAGACCCGCCACCTGCAGCAGGCAAACACCAAAGAAATAAAGCCCGAAAGAAAAAAAGACAGACCTTGCCTCACGACACCGCTGCCGGTAAGGACATCTGCAGGGGAACAGGAGCTCCAAGGGAAGCTACTGAAGGTTGCTGACACCATCTCGGGGAATTCCCCAAAATGAAAGACAAGACCAGATGCAGACCTGGAGACTAAGGCATTCGGAGTGCCAGGATATCCCTTTAAAACTGATACAATCTGTGCTGCACTTTGAAACTCAACCAGAAACGCCCAGGGGAACCCCTCTGCTTTCACTCCCTAACAGATGTGTTTAACATCTCAAAGGAAGCCTGGGCTCTCTGGGTGCCCTCACCAGCCCCCAGAAACCCAGGGTGGGCAGCACCCACCACCCCCCTTCCCTGGAGCATCCCTGCCCTCGGGGTGCCTCCCTGGGAGGCCACATTTCCCATCCCACAGTGGGAAGGAGAAAAGAACATCCCTTGAATACCAACCCATCCTCCCACAGCCAACAGAGCACTGAGCAATGCAGAAAAGCCAATGCACGGGCGGGAAGAGCCCGTCTGGTGAGAGGTTTGCTGAGGTCCCACCAGGGATGAGTCCTGGTGAGCCCCGTGGTCTGAAGACGGCCTCGCAGCCCCAGGGACCTGGCGGCTCTGCCGCTGAGAGGAGCAGGACTCACCATGTTCATCACGGTCAGCCTTTTTTTTTTTTTGGTAAAACATCTGCAGTATTGGAAACATGTCATCAAGGACTCCTTAATTCAAAGAAATAACCTTTTGGTGTTGAGGATGCAGCCCACACCTAGACCCGTAACCTACAAGTATTTCACTGCGCTGTATCTGGGGCTTGGCAACAGGGCCACGGTGAAAACCTGGTTTGGAAACCTCAACTGGGAGCCGACCGGGAGCCCTCTCCGGTTTTAAACCTGAGATTTGAGACCAGTTCCAGCCATTAGGACCAGTTTATCTTTGGATTTCATGTTCCATATCTGATGTGCAGGTGTCCAGCCAGGGCTTAGGCTAGGAGGGAGATTTGAGGAGCTCTCAACGAGATGTTCCCCGGGCTGCCTCTCTGTCCCCCTGCCCGCAGCCAGCAGACCATCTCCAGCACAGAACTGGCACGTGGGGACAATACCTTGTGAGCAGGACTGCGACGTCGTGATGCAGGGGATGGGAATCTCCTTTCACGTTGATGCTCTTCTGCCATTTGCAAAAGCTCCTCAAGGTGTTGTCTGCGTGGTGGGAGATTTTCAGATCCTCCTGCCAACACAACGAAAAGGCTGCTGTCATATTGCTGCCAGATCTGCCTGGGATTTTTGGATGCAGGAGGGAGGGGACTGATCTCAGACAGATGAGAGTGAAATCAGGAGCAACTGCCATCCAGATGGAATTGCTCCATATTTATAGGTTGTAGGCTGGGTGGGAATACAATCCTTTTCTGCTTTCTTTTCATCTGTGATTCAACTGAAACATTACATTATCTGACACCGGGGGCTAAGAAACACTGTGGGAAAAGATCCCATCCTGGCTGATGGGGAAGGACGGAGCTGGGGAGCCCATTGGAGTGGCGTCAGGCTCCCCGAGAGCCACTGCTGCAGCTGGGAGCACAACCAGCCGGAGACCCCCTCCCTCTGCTACCTGTGGCCACACCGAGTTATCCTAAATTATTATAAGAACGAGACCCTGCAACTCCTCTGGCCGTGGTGTCCCCTTGACTTCACCAGGGCTGCAGCCCACGCAGAAGACCAGGCAGGCAGGCACGGGCATCTGCATTTATCTTACACAAACCCACCCAGGCCATGGAAACAGTGCCAAAGAGAGATTCTGAGCTTTCAAGGCCAGCTCGCCGTGCGTCCCAGCCCCGCTGCCAGGAGGGGAGGCTGAGTCACCCTGTTTGCTTTTTACCTCTTCGTCTTCCAGCAGGATGAGCCGCACAATGGCGATGTTGATGGGGTTCCCGATGCTGGCGTGGTGGAACAGACCCGCCACCTGCAGCAGGCAAACGCCAGAGAAATAAAGCCCGAAAGAAAAAAAGACAGACCTTGCCTCACGACACCGCTGCCGGTAAGGACATCTGCAGGGGAACAGGAGCTCCAAGGGAAGCTACTGAAGGTTGCTGACACCATCTCGGGGAATTCCCCAAAATGAAAGACAAGACCAGATGCAGACCTGGAGACTAAGGCATTCGGAGTGCCAGGATATCCCTTTAAAACTGATACAATCTGTGCTGCACTTTGAAACTCAACCAGAAACGCCCAGGGGAACCCCTCTGCTTTCACTCCCTAACAGATGTGTTTAACATCTCAAAGGAAGCCTGGGCTCTCTGGGTGCCCTCACCAGCCCCCAGAAACCCAGGGTGGGCAGCACCCACCACCCCCCTTCCCTGGAGCATCCCTGCCCTCGGGGTGTCTCCCTGGGAGGCCACATTTCCCATCCCACAGTGGGAAGGAGAAAAGAACATCCCTTGAATACCAACCCATCCTCCCACAGCCAACAGAGCACTGAGCAATGCAGAAAAGCCAATGCACGGGCGGGAAGAGCCCGTCTGGTGAGAGGTTTGCTGAGGTCCCACCAGGGATGAGTCCTGGTGAGCCCCGTGGTCTGAAGACGGCCTCGCAGCCCCAGGGACCTGGCGGCTCTGCCGCTGAGAGGAGCAGGACTCACCATGTTCATCACGGTCAGCACGTACTTCTCGATGTTCTCGCTCCCGTGGTATTCTATCATCTTGGTGTCTGCCACCACCAGCGTTTCCACCCACTTCTCCTTGCTGATGGAGCGCTGCTTTATCCTCCTCTTCCTGTGCTGCTTCTGCTCCCATCTTTCCCGCCGCTTCTCAGACCTCTCCAGGCTTTCCTGAGATTCTGAGGGATCAAAGAGGGGAAAAAAGACTTTTTTTTTTTTTTTTTGGTAAAACATCTGCAGCATTGGAAAAATGTCATCAAGGACTCCTTAATTCAAAGAAATAACCTTTTGGTGTTGAGGATGCAGCCCACACCTAGACCCGTAACCTACAAGTATTTTGCTGTACGTTCCAGAAAATTACTGGGGGTTGAAGACTCTGACCTTGCATAGAACTTTAGCATCATAGAAAAAAAATAAAAAATAAAGCATTTGGGGTCAGACTTTTTTTTTTTTTGGTAAAACATCTGCAGTATTGGAAACATGTCATCAAGGACTCCTTAATTCAAAGAAATAACCTTTTGGTGTTGAGGATGCAGCCCACACCTAGACCCGTAACCTACAAGTATTTCACTGCGCTGTATGTTCCAGAAAATTACTGGGGGTTGAAGACTCTGACCTTGCACAGAACTTTAGCATCATAGGAAAAAAATTAAAAATAAAGCATTTGGGGTAATTTCTTTGACTAGAACAGGGTTTGCAATATTCCACGAGGAACATGGAGCACCCCAGAGCAGAACACTTAGGGTTTGTATCCACGTATGAATTTACAGACAACCCTGCAGAGCAGCTTGGGGTCATTTCTTTGACTAGAACAGGGTTTGCAATATTCCACGAGGAACATGGAGCACCCCAGAGCAGAACACTTAGGGTTTGTATCGAGGTATGAATTTACACACAACCCTGCAGAGCAGCTTCAGCACATACCACTGGGAAGTACCGGTGGCTCAACATTTCCAATTATCACCACAAATCTGCATTTTACAGAGAGAGACAGTTCCCCAACGTGACAAACTCTGCCCCCCCAAAGCTGGACTGATGTCTTGAGCCAAATCCCGAAGTTCATTGGTGTCTGGGGCAAGAGGGAGACGTTGCAGGACCTCACAGACCTCCTTGGCCACGTGGGGACCGAGCCCTGCTCCTTCCCCAGGAGAAACAAGGGGAACATTGAGTGGCCAGAGGGGATGGGAGGCTCGGATGCTCCTCACACACACCAGCCACTGGGAATTCTCATGGGAGACTTTTCCTGTGACGCTGCTCCAGGATCAAGGTCAGGGTCAGCCCCAAGCTGGGCGAAGGCTTTACAAACCTCATCCCACTCAGTGGGAACCGCTTTTATGGCCGGTTTCTAAGGGCTCAGCCTCACTTTGTTAACAATGGACTTTTACATTTTATGGACTACACTGTACTTTAACCGTGAAAGAGTGTTTTATCCCCCAGCCTGAAAAATCCCAAGTATCTGGATAATTTGATGAATTGCTAATACCACTGTGACACTTTAATCGCAATGGCCTCCTTGAAGCTTGTTTCCATTGTGTCCTTTGCTGCTGAGCTTCCAGCCGGGACGTGAAGGTACTGCAGAGGAGATGGGCACGGAGGGCTCCTGGCGTCCCCCCAGGGAAGGTCCACAGGGGATTTTCCCTTCGAGACCCCCCTTAAGCACCCCCTCAACTGTACCCACAGCCCTGGGTACTGACAGAAGCCAGATAACACCTACCAGCCCAATGCCACCTGGCTGCCCGGCGTTTGGCAGAGGAAACCAGGAATACATCAGCACCGAAAGCTCGCAGTAACTAAAATCCGACAGTTTTGGTTTCCTTTCCAGGGCAGACACAGCACATCCACCTTGCCAGCCCGGGCTGCAGCGGAGACCCACGTGTGTTACACACGGGCCATGGCACACCCAGTAAAACTCATTTACAATGAGCAGACTTCAAAGTCTAGGAGGAGCCACTATGATTATTACCACAGATTAAATAATTAATTTAGATTAACAGAAGAATGCCTGCAAATAACCTGATTATAGAAAAAAAAAAACCAAACCAACAAACCAACCCAGTTTCCGAAAGCAGAGAGCTCTAGGAAATAGGCAAAGCCAAGATGCGCTGCCTGGAAGATGCAGCTTCACGGATGGAGACGAGGAGTGAAGAGCCCGTGAGCTGCTGGGGATGCACTGAATTCCTCCTTGCTTGAAACACTGGGCTTGGAAGTTCATCCAACCCATCTGCTCCAGCCAGAGGACAAGGCACTGGGAGGAGCTCTCTGCCCTGCACAGACTCCCGGGGCAGCGACCGGGTTTCACTCCCAAAGCCCAATGCCCCGACAGGTCAGAAACTGGTGTTTGCAAGGAAATGAGAACAAATCCTCTGTCTCCACATCACGGGACGCTGGCAGGACCAGGAGGAAAAAATGAGTGAGCGGCCCAAGGTTTGGGGCACGCATTGAGTCATGTATGTGAGAAACATAAGCAAATACAGAAAAATTGGCAGGAGGAAAAAAAAAAACAACCCACCCTGTGCTCTGCAGGGATTCCAGTGACCTGTGGGCTCCGGTCATTAATGCCACAAACCCACTGCCCGGTGCCGAGCGAGCAAACTCTCCTGAGTAGCCATCTGAGTAATAAAATGGGCTGTGGGAAGGGTTACGTGGGCCACCTGGGGCCACCAGGCTGTCTCAGCCAGCAGCTCCAGCCCGTGGGACACCCACCCATGCCAGATGCCACCCTGCAGCAGGACACCCCACAGCATCCGTCCCCTCCCTGCTGATGGCTGAGTCTCTTGGTCCCAGGGTTTCCTTTCTCTCCAGCCCTACGTGGCAGGAGGTTCCTCCAGCCCAACTCGCAGAACTCCAAACCCAGAGCAACCAGTGTCACCGGTGGGTGCTGGGAGCTCAACACTGGGAAACTAACGAGTCTGCGGAGGCAAGGCAGGGGGCTGAGGCTCGGACCTGCCCCCTTTATCTTTCCACCAGGTGCTTCATATGAACCAGAGGACCCAGCGCGTTGCACATTGGTGAGAGGAAGGACCATACCTTGCACGCCACAGGGTTCCCATGGAGCTGGTGGCCTCCTGCCCAGCTCTGCCCCGTGCTGGGGCACCTGGCGCTTGTATATCCTGTGGGGCTGGGCTGCCCCCTCCTCCCGGGAGCTGGTGGACACCGGTTCGATGAAATAGTCCTCGTTCATCAGCCGAAACACACCTTTCTGGCAGGGGAGAGACAAAGCTGTCACCATGAAGCCACCCGCACCCAGCAGAGACTCACACTGAAGGACCTGGGAACGGGAGAGGGTCTCCAACGTTTTCCAGGAAGATAGAGGTGTTCTCTGAAGAAAGTGGTTTTAGGGGTGTAGCACCTGCCTTCTTTACTCCCATGGAGTTACAGTCTCTCCAAACCCACAGACCCTGGGTGCGAGCACTGCTGGGGACCCCTCCTCTGCCCTGTGCTGGGGATGGAGGGGGTTCTCCTGGGGTCACCCCCCGCCAAAGAGAATCCCCCCACCATACACCCATTGCCTCCAGGGAACCCCAGCACCTCTGCCATCCCACTGCCCCAGCTCGGGGCTCTGCGCATCGTGGGACCTACCGAGGGGTATGGTTCCACCTCTGCAACCCCCCAGGGGCTTTGAACCCCGTGGGGAGCCGGTCCCTGCTCTAGGGGGATGCCAGCGGATGCGGATACAACCCTTGTGTCAGGACCCAGCAGGGCAAACTTGGGACTTTAGGAGAAATGAGTGTATCTGTGACAGTCACTTCGCCATTCAGCAAAACTTACACTCTTACATCTCACTACTGCCCTCGAAAATATCTGCAGTGGAATAAGGCAGGGGAGGTGTTCCCAGAACGTACAGAATATTCACTCCACACGAGCTGCCTTCCCATAAACACATCCCGGCCTCCAACACCTTCTGTCCAGATGTGTTTCTCACAATCCCACGTTTCTGTACTCGAAGGCGGAGGCGATAGGAGAATCGCTCTCTTTGGGAATTTGGACACAAACAAGTAAACACAGTCCCGGAGAGTTCCCAAACCGCTGGAATCCATGGGAAATTTACAGTCAGCTCATCCCTGGCCGCATCAAACCCACGCGAAGAGATCCCGGCCCTGCTGCTGCCAGGGGGAGTTTGGCTACTGCTTTGAGGAGGGGAAAAAAAAAAAAAAGGGGATTTCTCACAGGGCTTCTGCTATTTCCTTATTGACTAAAATAAAAATCTGGGTACTCACCAGGCCATCACAGGTACTGAGCACAGCCAGCCCCCCCGCCGGCGCCCGGCCCCGCACCTCCCCGATCATATGGCAGGAGTTGGAGGCGCGGGGCTGGATCTTGGCGCCGGCGATGCCCCCGAACCGCCGCTCGCTGACGAAGCCGGGCGCCAGGAGGTTGCGGTTGAGGCTGAGGTTGAACCTGAGGGGCTGCCCCCGGTACCGCAGCTCGTAGAAGGCCGGGGACTTGCTCCTGGAGGAAGGCGAGCGCCGGTGGAGCGCGCGGTGGGACAGGTCGTAGGACAGGAACGCCCCGCTCTCGTCAACCTTGACGGGGTGAACGATGTCGCTGCTGGCGTCCGGCTCTGGGGAGACAGGGGTGCCATGGTTAGTTTTGGGGGGCACCCCCTTTCCTCTCCCACCCCTTCGACTGGAGGCTGAACACCCAAGGCAGCCCAGAGGGGCCAGGTACCCAAATACCAGTTGGATCTGGTGACTGGTGTCCAAAAGCATGCCAAAGGCATGGTGGGGAGCGGGGAATGGCAGAACCCCCCCCAGCCGTGGGGTCCCAGGCAGCCCCTCCTGCCCTGGGGGTGGCAGGGGCCGGGATGTGCCCCGGGAGAGGGTCAAGGTCAGGGTCAGGGTGGGGAGGGATGGGGCTGGGACATGCAGGGGCCGCGCAGCCCCGGGGCTCTGCTCCAGCCGGGGCAGCTCCCAGTATCCACACGCACCTTCCCACCTTTTAAATTAATAAAATAAAATTGTAAAAAAACCAACCACCAAGCCAAAGAAAAAAAGCCAACCAAACAAAAAAACCCAACCAACCCAACACACAAAAAGCCCCGAATCTCAGCTTCCAGGCGGGGTTGGGAAGCCGTCTCGGGGCAAAGCACCGCCCGGGCACCGAGCGCCCCGCAGCCTCCCCCGCCGGTGCGCAGCGCCGCGGCGGGACCCGGGGGGGCACCGGGGGTCCCGGCCCCGCGCATCCCGCCGGAGCCGCGGGACGAGCCCCGCAGCGGCCGGAGGGGGGTGGGAGGGGGACACCGAG